GCACAGTTTGGGGGGCGTGTGCCTGTGTGTAAAGGGGGACACCCCAGCCTCTTGGGAAGGTTGGGGACCTCTGCACGACTAAACCCACAGGCCCCTCTTCCTTTGCAAGCTCCTTACAGGGGATCCAAACAGGTAGCAAAGATGCCCAGGGTGCCCAGCAGGTCCCAGACACCTACCGATGAACGAAGCGGAATGAAGGAGCTAATTTCAGAGGCAGTAACAGCTATGGAGATGATGAAACCCTGGGATGGAGGGGTGGGCAAGGAAGGCTTCTCTGAGGAGCTGTCCCTTGAGCCAAGACCAGAGGGAGGACCGAGGCACATCCGTGAGGAAGCCATGGAGGCGGCCAGAGCAGCTGGTGCAAAGACCCTGGGGCACCAGCGAGTGACCCAGGGAGAGGCGGGGCGAGTGCACGGAGCCGGCTCCATAAGAGTCTCCTGGGCCATGCTAGGGCCTTTGGATTTTATTCCAATAGCTTCTGGTGGTCACTGGAAGATTTTAAGCAGAGGAACGATGTGATGAGGGTTGGCATCCTTAAAAGCACACCGAAGCCTCCCCTACAGAGGGTGGAGGGCAGGGCTCAGGTGGAGAGGCCTAGATCCCTGATGCCAGGGTTGAGATTTGTTGCCCTCTCCTGCTGTCGCACTCCAGGACGAGGGCTGGGAGTGCAAGGACATTCCAGAGGTGCCTTCTGCTCCCCAGGTTTTCAGGGGCAGAATGGAAGGGCTGGGGGTTAATCGGAAAAGCAGGTGAGTGATCCCAGAGTCAGGGAAGTCGGTCGTGACCTGAATCTAGGCTCCAAAGTTCAGCTCAGTTAACTTTCAACCTCCTGGGAGGTTCCTGGACATTTCTGAAAGTGTTTCTTCACGGCCACAGGGGCTCTCAGAGGAGGACGAAACAGGCAGCTGTGTTCACAAGACTCTCCAGCAGCAGAGGGCCCCTTGGGGACCCCAAATCCCCAAGCCCTTCCCCCTCCCCTAAATGACTGAAGGTCTTGTGTGCCCCTTGAAGACGCTCCTCAAATCCCAGGGGCCTGGAAAGCGAGGCCAGCGCTGCCCACCCAGCCGCCCCCCAGAGGCTCGCCCCAGAATTCGAGGCCACACCTGCCCACACACAGTCCCCCACAGAAGCTCCCCCCAAAATTGGAGGCCAGACCTGCCCAACCAGCTCCTTACAGAGGCTTCCCCCAGAATTCAGGGCCAGCCCTGCCCACCCATAGCCCCCCATGGAGGGCTCCGTAGGCCTTGGCAGCATCAGGCCAGGCAGGGGGCAGAGCTCAGGTGGAACTAGCTCAGAGGATGGGGGGATGGAGGAGGGATGGGGGTGAGGGACGGGGGAGTGACGGCGGAAGAAGCTGCTCCCCGTCTGCCGGGGGTGGAGGAGCTCTGTTTTTCTGGAACCCTCATCTGTTCTTACCACTGCTGACGCCGCCACCGCCGCGGATGGGGAGAGAGGGAGGGGAGCCGGTGCCAAGTTGGCCCGCCCCTTCTGAACCTGGGCCTCTGCCACGCTCCCCCGCCTGCCCGCCCGCCCGCCCCCGCGAGCCTCCGTCTGGAGGTCACATTCAGTCCTGCTGCGTCTCGTTGGGTCAGGCAACAGGAAGATCAGAGCTGAGCTTGGCTGCAGGGGACACGGCTGCCCTGCTGAGTCTGGGTCCTTGAGTTTTGCCCAGCCTGGGGGTCTGTGGGCTTCTGGCTGGCACTGCTGCTGTGCTGGACACGTTGGTACCAGAGGAGCTGTGCATGCTGTGCTCCAGTGATGCCTGGCCCAGGGGTGCCCCACATGCCCCAGTGACAACTTCCCGCCACCTATCACCCTCGGGGAAGGGCACCTTGTGCACCCACAGCGGCTTGGGGACGGCATCAGAGGTGGCAGCGGCCGCTGGAGTAGCCTCGGGCCACCACAGGCTGGCAGGCTTGCACGGAGCTTCCTCCCTCCCCTCTCCAGCCAGCCTCCACCCGCCCTTGTCCCTCCCTCCCTCCCTCCCTCCCTCCCTCCCTCCCTTGCTCCCTCCCTCCCTCCCTCCCTCACCGTGGGACGGAGAAGGATGTGAGGCAGAGCTGAGCCGCCAGCAGACGCCAGCCAGGAGCCTCACAGAGCCGGCCGCGGCTGCCCAGCCTGCCGGTCCACTTCCCTGGGCCTGCTCCCCGGGGCATCTTCCCAGCCCTATGTTTCCGGAACACTTGGCCGAGGGGGAGACGCAGATGAGAGGATGTGAGTGAGTCGCCCTGGGGAGGGGATGGGGGGCTGTGGTGCAGGGACAGATACTGAGACGTGGCCGTCAGGGATTTGAGGCTGGGCAGCTGGGCAGCTGGGCAGCTGGGGAGCTGGGGAGTTGGAGTTCCTGGGTCCTGGAGTGGATGGGGGTCTCAGCCCACCCTTTCCCTGGTGCCCCCGCCTCTTTCTCCCTGCTGGGCTGAGGCTGTCCTGGAAGCAGGGGGAGGGCCTGGATCTGTGCCTGGGAAGGTGGGTCTGTGATGGTGTGTGCACAGGGGGTCTCCAGGTGGCCGGGAGCTTCAAGCTGGGTCTGGCAGGGTGGGCTCCAGGACCCAGGGGGCTGGGAAGTCCTCCCTGTGCCCGATACCTGCCTGGGCTTCCCACAACAGGAACCAGAGGAAGCCAGTGCCAGCCCGCCCCTACCCTGAGGCCCTGGCCGGTGCTAATGGGACACCCACTCTGGCCCCTCACCTGGCAGTTAAGGAAACTGAGGCTGGAGAGCAGAAGGGCCAGCCGAGACTGCTGCGAGCTCTGGCCAGGTGCCCGGGTGACTCTGCCAGCGCTCGTTTGGGAGGTTCATGTTTTCAGGAAGGGCTGGGTGACCCCCACCCCCACTTTTATCCCCTCTCCTCTGCCCTCAACCCACTCCCACTGCCCTCTTGACCAGAGTTACTTAGGGTCCCCAAGCCCCAGCCAGGCTCCCAGCCACCTCCTCATTTATTGACTGAGTTTGGAAATGCCAACCTCCCCAGCATCGTCACCCCACCCCCTGGCTCTGCATGCCCACCCCACCACACCCCTCCCACCCGCTCCCACCCGGGCTCCGGGCCTGTGATCCCTTTGGCCCTCGTGTTTGCTTGGGCTCTCTTGGCCCCGGCTGGGGAAATATAAATAAACGCACGGCCCCATCCGCCAGGTTCTGGAAGTGGCAGCTGCTGCTGGCGCGGGCAGAGGGAAAGGTCAGGGGCCGGTGCCACTTGATCCCACCCTCTGGCCTCCCCTTCTGTGCCTGTCCTTGAGGGACCCTGAGGAGCGGGCCGTGGGGCCATGTGGCTCCCAGGGCTGCCGCAGGCGAGCAGGTGGCCTGTCAGTCAGTGCCACCCCCACGCCATGGGGGCCAGAGAACCCAGAGGGCAGGAAGTGTGGGGCCCCACGCCCGCGTTGCCCCCTTCGCCGGTCCTCTGAGCTTGGGTGAGTTAGGGGGACCCTCTGAACCAAGATTCCCCTGTTCCTGGGGATGGGAAAATGGTCACAGCCATGACAGCAAGGATGAGAGGGAACCAAGTCTTTGAAGGGCTTTGCAAACTCTGTGTGTCACTCGGCCATGCCACGGGGTGATGTGCTGATGTTTTATTTGCGTTAGAGCCTTGTGTGGAGCAGGCAGGCGGCTGGCGCATGCATGTGTGCGTGGATGCATGGATGGATGGGTGGGTGGGTGGGTGGATGAATGAATGAATGAATGACAGAAAATACCAACACAGACAGCTGCCCCTCAGCTCCCAACCCCTGCCCAATTTTAGCCGGAGCTTGGCTTGCAGCTTGATTTAATTCAAGGAAAATGGTCGAAAACTTCGTGATGGGAAATCTTTCATTAGAGTCCTTACAAGTGTAGCTCTAGCCCAGAGAGGCTGTGACATCCCCAGCTCCTCGAGTCAGCCTTGGGGCCTGCTGCCCTGGAGGGGCACCGTGTTGCTGCACAGTCCCCCGAGGTCAGGAGCGCTCCCTGTCTCTCCCACAGCCCTGGGAAGGTGGGCAGGCCCTACCTGCACAGGCTGGCTGGGCCACACAAGGTCACGCCGCTGGAGGCACAAGCGTAAATATAGAGCTGCTGGCCGGTGCCTGTGCCTGGGTGTTCGGCAGCTCCAGGGCAGATGGGCCGGGACCGGGGCTCGGCTTCCCGGGCGCAGCCAGTGCAGCAGGGGCCGTATTTCTGCTGAGCCTGGTTTTATGGCCTTGAAGGTAGAACCTGGGGGGCAGCATGCAGCTCCGGCCCGAGTCCTGGGGATGGAGGAACTTGTCCCACTGATTCCTGGAGGCTCTCTTCCTACAGCAGGAGGTCCGTGAGGTGGGGAGAACCTCTTGGCAGTGTGGGTTGGAGTTTGGGGGCAAATTCCAGCTGCTCAGCCAGGCCTGCTGGGCCCCGAGTCCCAAGTGGGCTTTAGGTGGCCTTAGGGAGCTTGGTCCTGGAGGTACCCAGTTGACCTGGGCCTGGAGGCGGTGGTCCCAGGCACCCCGACCCTGACCTCCACCCTCCCATCCCCTGCGCATCACATCCCCTCCTTTCTCTGGGCCGGTGTGGCCGGAAAACAGCCCGTCTCCCGAGGCCTCGCCTGCAGCTGTGAGCGAGTGTCAGGGCTGGGTCACGGCGGCTGGGCCCTCCCGCTCAGCTTGGGGGAGGATGAGAGGTGGGGCCTGGGCAGGGGCTGTGCAGGACATTCACAGCCCTCTGGCCCCAGCCTCCTGCACGGTGGCCTCGGTGGGGCTTCACCTGTCACTCTTGGCTCCTCCAGGCCAGGCCTTTCCCGTGTATCCTGGCCTGGAGTCAAGTGACTGAGAAACCAGACCCTAGAGGCCAGCCCTGCTACCCTCTGGTATCTTCCCCTCCAGGGGACATGGGTCCATCACTGTCTCTTCTTCCAGAGGTCCTGGGCCTGAGCAGGGAGCATCAGGCCGGGTTTCTGCTCCAGGCCCCGTTTGCCCCCCAGGCCGTGGACGCAGGTCCCCCTGGCTGCTGGGCCCGGCCGTCTCAGCACCCTCCCCTCACCCCTCCTCTCCCGCGACAGGCCTCCTGGAACACGGCCGAAACTGGTCGGCCATCGCCCGGATGGTGGGCTCCAAGACCGTGTCCCAGTGTAAGAACTTCTACTTCAACTACAAGAAGAGGCAGAACCTGGATGAGATCCTGCAGCAGCACAAGCTGAAGATGGTGAGTCCAGCCGTGCCCCGCTTCCCAGGGCCTGGGGAGGAGCCCGGAGCGCCCCAGGAGACGTCTCTGCATCCTGGGAGGCATGGGCCGGGAGGGGCTGTTACGCTGCTTCGTTAGGATTCTGCTTCTCGGGGTTCAAGCCCAGGAGTGCCCTGAGAGGGCTGCAGGCGACGATGCTGCTGTGAGTGTCCCTCTGGGAGACAAGACGGACCAGGCTGCCCTCCACCACCCACTCTGCTCAGACAGACACCTCTGGGGGCCCTCAGCCCCAGCTCAGGGCGTGGGGGAAGGAGCGCGCTGGACCAGACTGACTCAGCCAGGAATTTGGGCTGTCAGTGCATTGGAATGAGGACCCGGAGGCAGATGGTCCCTGAGCAAGCAGCTCCCCCGCCCCATTTGACCTCACAGCTTTAGGGCTGCCATGTAGGGGGAAAGGACAGGTCTGGGGCTCGGAGAGTGGACCGCTGAGCCCTGTGTCCTGGAGGGCTTGAGGCAGGCCTGGAGGCTGAGACGCCCCTCCTCCAGGAGCACAGAGGCGCAGGCTCGCCTCACCGGGCGTGTAAATGGTCTCTGAGGAGCCGTCGCTTCTTCCACAGCTGTTTCTGGGAATTGAGGAGCATTTGCGGGGAGACCTCTGCTGCTTTCCCTCCCTTCTTCCCTCCATCCCTCCTTCTCTCCCTGTCTCCTTCCCTTGCTCCCTGCTTTCTCCCTCTTTGACGCACTTGCCAAGTATTGTCTCCATTTTAGATCTGGGGAAACTGAGGCTTAGCCAGGCTCATATACAACTGAATTGGGATTCGAACCCACAGCTGTGAGATCAGCACCGACGCTCTTCATCACTAGGCGCGTTTCCCCATCGATACAGAAGCACAAGGGAGGGGTTGCAAAGCTCCCCTCCCCCAGGACTGACCCCTGTGCCCCCAACCATGACATCGGGCTGCCTTGTGCCTGGGTGTAAAGTGTGTGCAGCGTGTTCCAGGCAGGCCATGCCGAATTGCTCCTCCATGCAACCTTCCGAGGCCCAGAGAGGGTGAGCAGGCTGTGAGGTCACACGGCATGCGGTGGGAGGGCCAGGTATAGCCTCGCCCCGTTTGAACTCTGCCTGAGAACTATGCAGAATTTAAGGTCGTTCTTTCACCCTCACGAGTGGGTTCTTAGTGCGTCATGTGTGCGCATGGCCGCTGGTGGCCCCGGTACCGAGGGGGCACTGTCCCACGGCCCTATGGTTGGGGCTGAGATCCACCCTCTGTCCTCAGGGAGGTCCCTCCCCGTCACTTCCAGTTAAGCAGTGCCCTGCGTGCCCTCCGCAGCGGCCGCTAGGATTCGTCCCCAGAGTTCGGGGCGTCAGGCAGCCCCCTCTTCTGGATGCTCCAGGCCTCCTGGTTGGGTGTGGAGGAAGGCTCCGCATCAGGCTGAATGTGGGGACCTTGTCCCTAACACCAGCTGAGGTCCCTTATGGCAAAGACGGCCCACGACAGAGCAGCCTGGGGGCGCAGAAGGGGGCCTGGGCCAAGGCGTGTTGTGGGCCACTGGCTCTGTCACCCACTTCGGGTCTGTGGGGTGGTCCGGCAGGATGACCCAGGGCAGAGGTTTGGCCCAGAGCGTCTCCCTAGACACAAAAAGGGCCTCCTGCTCCCTCCCCAGCCTTCCCCTCCCTCCTTCCCGCTCTCCCTCTCCTCACCCTGCCTCTCCCTCCAGCCCCTCTTCCCCCTGTCCCCCTCACCTCACCCCAGGGCTCACTCTCAGTGACCACGGGTGTCTCCGCCCCTGCAGCCTGCTGCCCCACGGCCTGGCTTTCCAGGCTTCTGCAGGGTGTGGCCCCACTACATCCCCAGAGACCCCAAAACCTAAGAGAGTGGTGTGGAGGACCAGAGCCCCCAGCATGGTGGACCGTGCCATTAGGCCCAGGGTGAGACTGGGGTCAAGGCCCAGCTTGTGGATTCGGGCACCTGTGTGACCTTGGGCAGTGGATTCAGCCTTCTCAGCCTCAGTTTCCCCATCTGTAAAGTAGGGGCATCACAGTTCTTCTCCATGAGGGCCTATGAGGAGTGAATGAGTGATCACCTGTGAGGACCTTAGTGCCTGCTAGAGCGGCCGCGCTCTGGGAGGGCCAGCTGTCCAAGTTACTCTTTCTGCTGTGGTTATTATTATTATTCCGTCTTGATGCCATCTCCCCGCTTCTCAGGGCCGCCGGAGGCCCCCTCTTGAACGGTGTGTGCAGGCACAGGCAAAGCGTGCTATAGGTTGGGAGCAGGACTGGGTCCTGGAGACCTGAGTTTGAATATAGGGTCTGCCACCTACTAGCTGTGTGTGGCCTTGGGCAAGTGACCTGTGTGCTCTGTGCCTCAGTTTCCCCATCTGTGAAATGGGGGCAATAATGGAACCCACTTCAAAGGGTTGCTGTGGGAATGCAGTGAGTGGCTGCCAGTAGACTGGTTAGAACGCAGCCTCGTATGCCCCGGGCGCTCTGCTAGTGAGAGCTCTGACGGTGTGGTGGTGGCGCTCTCATGATTGATTCATTCTTCATTCATCCATCCATTCATTCAAAGAGGCATTCCAGAAGGATGGTGCAGAGCCTGGCTTTGGAGCTGGTGGCTTCACACCGCAGCTCTGCTGCTTAGTGATGGGCATCCAAGGATACGGGGCTTCACCTCTCTGCACCTCAGTTTCCACCTCTGTAAAATGGGGATAACACTGGGACCCAGTCATAGGGCTGCTGAAGAACAAGTGTGTTTCTTTGTGTAAAGAGTGGTGCCTGGTCCTTGGTCAACCCTCAATAAGCGTCCAGTATTTCCTCAATGTCCATTCAGCAAGCCTTTATTGAGCACCTGCTGTATCCCCTGAGGGCAGAGGCATGGATGGAGTTCTCCTGCTGGGCTGAGGAGCCAGCACTTCTTTAGTGGACTGTGGAAGGAGTGGGGGTTGCATCGAAGGATTCTGAGCTGAGACACAGCTCCCGTCGAGGGCTAGACTCAAGGTGGGTTGTCCTAGTGTGGCTGAAAGTGATTCTTGTCCAAGTGACACAGTCAAAGCCGATAAAGAAGGTGGCCCTTCTATCCCCTGACTCAGAAGACTCCGGAGACGTGGGCAGGAAGGGACCCTGAGACCAGATAGGGACCTGGATGAGAATGAGTGATTAGGGAGTGTTGGGTTGGGTCTCGCTCCTGGCCAACCTCAAAGGAGCACCCTCATATTGAGGGCTGCAGAGAAAAAGCAAGAAGTGGGGTTCAACCCAGGCCACCGTTTTTGGTGCAGTGGTGAGCTCCCCATCACTGCAGTATGCAAGCGGGCCTCAACAGGAGAGGTGCCACTGAACCCAGTGACCTCCACCTCCTGCCCCTCCCCTGTGCCTTTCAGGGAGGAGGCATGTCCCAGTGAATCCTAAGGCAGTAACAGCCACCTCTGGCTGCTGGCCCAGCCCTGTCTGGAGTACAGGAAGGCATGTCACCCTTGGCCAGCGAAGGAAGGAGTGGGGAAGCAGAGGGTCAGTGGGTGTCCCCTCCCGCCTTACGCCAAGCCTGGCCTGAGCGTGGCCGCAGGCGACGTCAGCAGGAAGCAAGATCCGGCGGCTGGGCGGGCGGGCGGGGCCTGTCCCGGAGTTATGTAACACTTGGCATCAGTGTCTTCTCTGAGGTTTCCCTCCCCCTCCTCGTGGCCGAAGGTTACCCTTTTCTCCCATCTGTGAATGCAGGCCCCTGGGGCTCAGTGTCCATGTTTCTCAGTCTCTGTCCGCTTGGCCCTGGCCTAGCCCCGCCTTGTTCTCTGCTGTTATCTCTTCTACCTGAGACTGCACAGGCCTGCAGAGATGTTCCAGCTGGGACATATTTGAACCTGGCCTGCATTCAAATCTGGGCTCCTCACCGCATGAGTTGTGTGGCCTTGGGTAAGAGTCATTGCCTCTCTGGGCTGTTATCCCTGTCAGATTCTTTCATCTAAAGACAATTACAGAGCGCCTGTTCTGTGCCAGACGCTGTTCCAGGTATGGTGGGTATATGGTGGAGAACAAAGATCCTAGCCCTTGAGGAGCTGGGTCCAGTGCAAGAAACAGATTCATACATTCAGTTCCAGAAGGGGGTCTGCAGATGCTGTGAGAGGAGGTCGTGGAAACTGGTTGATGGTGAGGCCAGGAGGGGTGAGCTAATGATGGGGTGGTCAGGGAAGACCCCTCGGATGTCTGGGCTGCGGCCTGAAGGAGGCGAGGAAGTGAGTTGTGCAGATATCTGTGAGTGGGTGTCCAGGCAGAGAGAGGAACAGCCAGTGCAAAGGCCCTGTGGCTGGGGTATCGAGCAGGGAGGGCAGCGTGTTTGTAGCACACGCCCTGAGGAAGGGAAGGGGACAGCAGCTTGGAGAGGCAGACGGGGTCCAGGGCTGAATCACACAAGGCCATTTGGATGGTGGGCAGGACTTGGGGGTCTTATCCAGGTGTTGGAGAGTTTGTAGCAGGTGGTGGCATGCTCTGATTTGCAGAGCAGCTGTGCAGATCCAATAAATTAATGCCAGAAACCGCTTGGCACATGGTAGGTACCTGATAAATGTCAGTGGTGGTGATTTACCAGCATCTCCTACTCCATACACACCTCCTGACCCCACGGTGCTGGACCACGTGTGGCAGGATTAGCTGTAACTCCTGGGACTCCTGCTGAGACCCAGCCTTGTGGTGTTGGCACCATCCCTGTCTGCTGCCAGGCCTCAGAGGCCCCTCCCCGCCAGAGAGACTTACACTCCAGGATGGTGGGCGCCACGGCCAGGCTGACAGAAGACGCCTGTTCCCTGTGAGGCTCTGAGCATCTCCCACGTCCCAGCCACCACTGGGGCAGCTCATGCATCCAGTCAGTCTCTCCTGAGCTTCTGTCTGCTAAAAATAGATTTGGGAAGCAGGGGGAGCCCTTGGCCACAGCTGCAGAACCCACATGCCACCACTTTCTCAGGTCGCCACAGGCTCCAGCTCTCCTGGGAGAGGCTCTGGGTTCGGGGCAGGGCTGGGGCCAGGCCTAGGATGGGTGCAGGGTTGCAGAGCTGTCATCCCCATGGGCCCTGTGGGCACTGGCAGGGGCAGGGCTATGGCCCTCTGGCCGACTGGCTGTGACGGAAACCGTGACTAACGGGCCAGCAGGCGCTTCCCTTTTCCTCCCTGTGTTCCAAGTGGCTGTGCTCAGAGGAACCCTGTTTTCTTAGGAAGAAGGTACAACGGGAAGTGATCCCACTCCCTGCTTGCGCTGGGCCTGGGAGCCTGAGACCCCCCTCTCCTCCCCTCCATGAGGTCCAGCTCTAGCCTGGCCACAGCGAAGGGCCAGGGTGGGCGCAGCCCACCTGGCACTCCCCCGAGAGCAGGCTGTATGGGCTTGATATCCGGCCACCTTTCCTTGGAATCCGGGTGCAGTGGCATGGAGGGATGTGTGATTCCCCGTGACTGCCGTGAGGAGGTTCCACTGGGTGGCTTCTGACAACAGAGATGTACTTGCTTCAGGTCTGGAGGCCAGGTGTCCTGAACCCTGGTGTCTGCAGGGCTGCACTCGCTGTCAAGGCTGCACGGGAGCCTCTCCCGCCCTCCCGCGGCTGCTGACAGTTGGTGGCATTCCCGGCTGGTAGCTGCACCCTCTGCATGCACTTCTGCCCTTATAGGGTCATCGTGTCCCTGAATCTGTGTTTCCCTCTCCTGCCAAGGCCACCAGTCCTGCTCGGTTTAGGGCCCACCCCACTCCTATGTGACTTCATCTTAACAAACGACATCTCATGATCCTGTTTGTAAATAAGGTCACAGTCTCAGGTTCTAGGTCGATGTGAACTTTTCGGGACACCCTTCAACCCAGTATAGGGCTCTTGGCTGAGGTCCGCAGCCACCTCCAGGTGTGGTGAGGGCCCGCCTCTTTCTCAGCAACCCCGAGGGCTCCGGCTGCCGCCCCTCCTGTCACACCAGGCTGCAGTGGGCACCCGCCAGCACCTGTCCAGTCCCCCTGGGAGTCCCCCTCACCTCGAGATGCTGCCTCCACGATGCCCCCACTCTGCTCTCTGCTGTCTGTGCATTCAAGCCCAGACGCTGGCCTTTCACAGTTGCTCAGCAAGTCAGTCAACAAACACCTTCTGAGCCTCTGCCTGACTTATCATGGGGACAGAGACACCCAGCCCAGTGAGTTACAAAGATGAGCAGTTTGATGACGGTGCCTAAGCTGGGGGAGGAAGGGCGGGCTCTGCGCAGTGAGGAGCCTGGGGTTCCCAGGAGCAGGGCATGACGTGGGGGAGGTAGAGGACCCATGACTTAGGCTCCTTTCCCTTCCTCGACACACCCAGCATGTTCCCCCCATGGGGCTTTTGCACCTGTGACTCCCTGCACCTGCCACTCTCATCTAGAGCCAGGCCTGGCCCGTTTCCTCTGCCATCAAATCCTGGCTTGAATGTCACTTCCTTGCAGAAGCCCTTCTGGACGGTTCTGTCGGGAGGAGCCCCTGCTCCGTGCTCTCTGCCCCACCCTGTGTGCCCCGTGTAGCCTCTGTGTGCTCTGTCTCCGTGAGGAGCACATTGCTGGTCTCCTGACTGGCCAGCCTCCAAGGGCAGGACCTTGTCTACCCCATGTGTTGTGTCCCCACAGCCCTGGGATGCAGAGCCGGGCACACAGTAGGTTTTCTGTAAAGTTTCAGGGAATGAAACGCAAGCTTCCCAGGCTGGCTTGTCCCCAGGGGCTCAGTGGGGACAGGGGAGACTTGCATGCAAGGAAAAGCATCCTGGATTCATTCATTCACTCCACATGTGCTGATGAAGCTGACGGTGTCCCCAGGAGGCGTGGCCACTTGCTCTGGCTGGGAGTGTCCTGGGCAATGTCAGGCAGGTTTTCTCCCGCTCAGGAAGGATGTCAAGGCAGCCGAGTGTCCAGCCTTTACCTGGAGTGTATCTGGGGCTCCATGGAAGAATAACCATGCTTGGCTGCCATGGTGGGGTCTGAGGGAGGACGGATACCCTCATTGCCACGTGGCTGGGATCACTGCCCCTCGAACCTGTGGCGAGGCCTGGGCATGGGGGCTGACAGCCCGGGCCCTAGCCCTGATCTGCTGCTTCCCTGTGTCCCAGGAGAAGGAGAGGAATGCGAGGAGGAAGAAGAAGAAAGCCCCGGCGGCAGCCAGTGAGGAGGCTACGTTCCCGCCCGTGGTGGAGGACGAGGAGATGGAGGCCTCGGGTGCAAGCGGGAACGAGGAGGAGATGGTGGAGGAGGCAGAAGGTGAGGGCTGGCGTGGCTGTGGCTGGCGTGGCTGTGGCTGGCGGGGCTGTGGCTGGCGGCTGTGGGTCCGAGCTCTGAGGGAGGGTGCAGCGGGAACTGACCCCGCCGGCAGCCTCCTCTCCCCTGAGTCATCTGGATGCTTCTTAGAAGGGACCTCGACTCCCTGGAAGGGGAGGGCCTGGCATGCCAGAAACTCACCAGTCACGGGGAAGAGGATGATGACCACCACCATCCCGAGAATAACCAGCTTCTCCAGAGCCCCAAGCCTCACTCAGCCCCTCTGACGCCCATGAGTTGAGGCTCACACTTGCATGGGCAGATGTCTTGGCCAGCCCTGAGGGTGCTGTCCTTCACCCTCTCAGGTGTCACAGTCTAGAAAAAATTTACTTTGGAAAATGGTTTGTTGTTGTTTTTGAGGCGGAGTCTCGCTCTCGCCCGGGCTGGAGTGCAGTGGCGCGACCTCAGCTCACTGCAACCTCCACCTCCTGGGTTCAAGCAATTCTCCTGCCTCAACCTCCCAAGTAGCTGGGATTACAGGTGCGTGCCACCACACCCATCTAATGTTTGTATTTTTAGTGGAGACAGGTTTCGCCACGTTGGCCAGACTGCTCTCAAACTCCTGACCTCAGGTGATCTGCCCACCTCAGCCTCCCGAGTGCTGGGATTACAGGCGTGAGCCACCACGCCAGGCCCGGAAATAGTTTTTTTTCCAGAACCCTTTTACACGGTAACCAGCCTAAATGGAACCTGTCTGTCTGTTGATACATATTGTAAAAGTTATATGGTCATTTTTAGTGCCTCCTTTTACTCCCAAGTGTCCTTATTTGGGTGTTAAATAATTCAGTCCCCCTTCTTTGATGTCCCCGTTTTCTATGTGGGGAGACTGAGGCTTGGGCACCGAAAGGTCTGGGCGCAGGTGCCCCGGGCGGGCACCACGGAGTGTGTTGGTTGCACAAGCCATAGACTAGACGGATGCCCCTCCAGGCGAGTGCCGCTGAAGAGAGCGTGTGGAGCCATCGTGTGCGCGGTTCTGGCAGGTCCCCCCAGTCCTCTCACATGGAGGACGGGGACCACACGAACTCCACTTCAGAGCCAGGGCTCCGGATAATACATGGCTCAACTTTATAATCAGTGTTTACAGACCCAGGAGCTGAATGCAGGCTGCCCACACCAGGCCCTGTGCTCTCAATCCCGAGTCCATCCACCTCCGACCCCCAACCCTGCGCCTCTGTGGGGTGACCGAAGGCCCCTGGAGCCCTCCCCCGCCCATCAGCTGAGCATCCCTGACTCTCCCTCCTGACTCTTGGAAGGAGAAGCGAACAGCCTTGGTCCTGGGTAAGGCAGCCTCCTGCCTCCTGCCCCTGTCCGCAGTCCTTCCTGTTGCTCCTGTCCTCCGTCCCTCTGTGCCTTTGAACACCCAGCTTCTCCCTGGCAGAAGGTGCAAGTCACCTCCTGGTTGCATAAGCCAGGCCTGCAGATAATTTCAGGTTCTTCCAGCCTGCAGATTTTCCCCAGCCGGAATCCCAGCTCCTGGCTGGAAATGGGTAACTGGGCCCTTGGGTGACTGTCATCTGAAGCTGGGGGTGGGTCCGGGGCACTGAGCCCAGCCTCCCCACCAGCTTTGGTTCTCTCTGGCCCAAGTTGGCCAGAAGCCTGGCCAGTGTCTGATGGAGGGAAGGCTGGGGCCCTGAGCCCTCAGGTCATCCTGTTTTGGATCTTGGGTCTGTAGGCAGGAAGAGAGAATATCCCAGAGCAGAAACTCCGCCCTCTCTGTCAATATCTCTCCAGCTATCTGAATGGGCGGGATGCAGGCTTGGTGGGAGAATTTTAAGAAGCCAAGCTTTGGCAGCACATTAAAACCAGAGCAGACGTGGCCCAGAACTGTGTGGTGATGACCCCTCATCGCTTGCAGGGCTTCCATAGCCCAGTAGGGATGGGGAGGGGCATTCTCTGCTGGGTGGGGGAGGAGGGAGGGCTGAGCTGGCTGGAGCTGGGGCTTCTGGTCTTCCGTGGCTGCTCTGAGAGTTTGGGGACAGCAGGTCAGAGGCTGATGAAGCCTCCTGGTGCCCAGCCAGGGTGTTACCCCATCTTAATGATGGCTGAGACCCAGGGAGAAGGGAGCCCCTCCTGTGGAATGTCCCTGCACATAGCCGCTATGCTCGGGGTCTGCCAGTGCAGCCAGTGTGTACCATGTGACCTGTCTCCTTGTGCTCAGGATGGGGAGCGGAGGCACGAGCTGGGTTGGAGCCTGAGGTTGCCCTGCTGGAATCTCCCAGGAGACCCAGCCAGCCCCAGCGGCATTGTGGGCCTCCCTGGGGCACCGAAAGTGCCTCCTGCATCTTGACCTGAAGTTCCCCAGGGCAGGTGGGGAGGGATCCCTGGGCCAGTGGAGTCTCAGTTACAATAATGCTCATAGTAAATGAAGCAGGTGCTACTATCATCCCCATTTTACAGCTGGGGAGACTGAGGCATAGCGGGTTTATCCGAGGCCCATTTGGTAACCTGGAACTTCCGGGAGGAAAGGAAAGAAGGCCATCTGGTGTGTTTTTGGTTTTGGTTTTTGTTGGTTTTATCGTTGCTCTTGTTAAACACCTACTGTGTGTCAGGTGCTGCACAAAGCGGCCCTCCCGGGCTCTAGAGCAGCTGTGGCCAGTGTTCCCTGGGGTCTGTTAGAAGTGCTGATTCTCGGGCCCCAGCCCACACCTACTGAATCAGAAACATTCAGAGGCGGGTACAGCCACCTGCATCTCACAGCCCTTGGGGCGTTTCCCATGCTGACTCCCGCCCCAGACCCTGTTGATCACCATGAGAGCAAGGCGTTCACTGCCCATTTTGTAGATGCAAAAACTGAGACCCCAGAGGTTTCGTCCCTGGTCCTGGGGCCCTCCGCATTGGCCTCCCACTGTCCCGTTCTCTGACTGTGGAAGGAAGGGAATGACATGGCTCAAGTCACCAGGCAGGGGCAGGAAGGCCAGGGGTTCGGAACACAGGATACCTGGTTCATTGCTCTCCCCTCCACGGCATGGCCTTGGGCAGGCTGGTGACCCTGCCTGCCTCTGTTTCCTCACCTGCAGATGAGAGGTCTTAAAGGAGTCATCCATGATGACGCAGCCTGGCCCAGCCTGCACACAGCCTGCCTTGCTGTCGTTGCTATTGTTTCTGAAAGGGGTGGCCTCTGCTCTAGGGCCTGAAGGGACGCAAGAAGCAGGAGAGGCTGCGGGATTGGAAGGGGCCCCGGCAGCCCCAAAAGCCTCTCCCTGCAACCTTGCCCACCCCTCAGGTCTGCACCTCCCACCCCAGGCATCCTGGGATCCCGGAACCAGGAGGCTGATGACTTGGGCAAGGACACCTGGAGTGGCTGAGGCTCACTTTTCACCCTGAACAACCCCATTACTGGCTGGCCTTGAACAGGCCATTGGAGCCGCCTGCGGAGGGCCGGAGCCCACAGGGAGAGGGCTCACTGGTCCAAGCAGAAGGGCAGTCAGGGCAGGAGAGCGGGCAGCCCCAGGAAGCCGCAGCGCGGCCTCCGTGTTGTGTGGTCCAGGCCGCTCCTGGCAGGCCCCACCGCTCTTCCCTCCCCACACTGCTTGCTGCCGCCTTGCTTCTAACTCTTCTCTGACTTCCTTCCAGCCTTACATGCCTCTGGGAATGAGGTGCCCAGAGGGGAATGCAGTGGCCCAGGTACGGATGTGGCCAGCTGGCCTGGGGGGCAGGGGCAGGGCCGGGCCGGGCCGGGAAGGGCATCTCGAGATCCCTAGGCCTTCGCGAGGAAACCACTTCTGGCCACATGCCTCTTTCTCTGAGCGCCACTGTCTGTGCTCCGCTGCCTCTGGGCTTCCTTCCCAGCTCAGCGGCTGTTCCCCACGCTGGTCCCAGGCTCACTCCTGCAGACCAGTTTCCCATCTCCACTGCTTCATTGATTTTCCCTGGTGTTTCACTTGGGTCTTCCACCGGGTTTGATTTCCCTGATAGCATATGCAGGGGTTTTCAAGCATCCCTGTTTTACAGAAAATGGGGGACACTGAGCCCCAAAGAAGAGGCCGGTGTGGGTTTGGGGGCTAGAGAGCCGGGATTGCAGCTGGGATCTCCTCGCCCTCCGTGGGTGCGGGTGCTTTTCCTGCCATCCCGTCAGCGAGGATCGCGCTCCTGCTGTCATTGGCGGGGGCCGTGCCTGGGGCTCCCTCGAGTGCACTGGTCCCATTCTACACTGCCACGTGATGATGATGGTGGCAGTGATGCAACCATTGGCAGGCGGTCACTGGGCAGCCGCCCTGTGCTGTCACACTCGCCAGCTTCTCCGCCCTGTGAGAATGGGAACTATTGTTCTTGCATTCTACAGATGGGAAAACTGAGGCCCAAGAGGTAACCTGAGTTTCCCATAGCACGCAGCCAGTGGAGGGCAGAGCCAGGCTGGAGCCCAGATGAGAATACGGAGGCCCCCCGGACGAAGGCCTCAGGATGTCTCCGTCTGTCTGGGTCCTGGGGTTGGGAGTTAACCAGGTCATGGCAGCAGGGTCAGTCCATGGGTAGGGGCCTGGCCAGCGGCTTTGTCTCAGGGATGCGGCTCCGGGCAGAGGCCCAGGTGTGTAGGACCCTCAGGGCTGTTTTGGCGTCAGGTGACAGAGCGGCCTCATCCTGAGGGTCAGGGCCGTGGGCAAGGCTGTGCCTGCATCTCTCCTGGAGCCACCCAGACCCCGCTCATGTCCTCTTCCTTCTCGCCCTGCACAGCCACTGTCAACAACAGCTCAGACACCGAGAGTATCCCCTCCCCTCATGCTGAGGCAGCCAAGGACACAGGGCAGAACGGGCCCAAGCCCCCAGCCACCCTGGGCACTGACGGGCCGCCCCTGGAGCCACCCACCCCACCGCCAGAGGACGTCCCAGCCCCAACTGAGCCCACCCTGGCCTCTGAAGCCACTGGAGCCCCCACGCCCCCACCAGCACCCCCATCACCTTCCACACCCCCTCCTGTGGTACCCAAGGAAGAGAAGGAGGAGGAGGCCACAGCGGTGCCCCCAGCAGAGGAGGGGGAGGAGCAAAAGCCCCCTGTGGCCGAGGAGCTGGCAGTGGACACAGGGAAGGCTGAGGGGCCCGCCAAGAGCGAGTGCACAGAGGAAGCCGAGGAGGCTCCGGCCAAGGGCAAGGCTACGGAGGCCACCGAGGCCACAGCTGAGGGAACGCTCAAGGCAGAGAAGAAGGAGTGTGGGAGCAGCAGGGCCACTGTGGCCAAGGGCTCAGGCGCCCCCCAGGACAGCGACTCCAGTGCCACATGCAGCGCGGACGAGGTGGATGAACCCGAGGGCGGTGACAAGAACCGGTGAGTGGGCGCCAGGCAGCACTGACCTCGACTTTTGTCTGCAGACACTGAGCAGCCACTGCCTATTTAGACAGCTGCACCCCATCTGGCTCGGCCTGGTTTGGGGGAGCCCAAGGTGTGGTGAGGGAGGCAGACTCAGAGTCCAGGAATGGGAGGTGCAGGCCAGGAGAGGCAGAGGTGTGGCTGGGAGGACCTCCCCAGGAGGTGACATCCGAGCTGAGACTGGACAGAGGAGGCAGCCCAGGCAGCGCTGGGGAGAGTGTGCCAGGCAGCCTGCTCCCTTCCTAGGGCCGCCCTCTCGAGGTAGCATGAGCCAGGTGGCTTGAAACAAACAGTCCTGGAGGGCAGGAGCTCGGGTGCCCAAACAGGCTAAGCCACACCCTCTGGGCCTCTGGGCTGCTCCGTCCCACCTGGTCCAGCTCCTGGCTGCTGGCAGTCATAGTTCACTGGCACACCACCCTTTTTGCCATCACGTGGTCTTTGCCCTGTGCATCTCTGTGTCCACATTTTCTTCTGAGGACACCAGGCATTGGATGAGCAGCTGCCCTAATCTAGTCCCACCTCATCTGAACTTGATCATACCCACTAACAGCCCATTTCCAAATAAGGTCACATTCACAGAGACCCGGGTTAGGACTGGAATGCACCTTCTCTGGGAGGGACAGTTCTACCCTCGACGTGGCAGGAACAGCAAAGGCGAAGGCCCTAGGTGGGGATGAGTTTGGCAGATTCAGGTGCTGAGGGTTGGAGTGAGGGGCTCAGGTGGGGGCAGCCTGGCGGTGTGGGGTGGGCAGCCAGGACGGGGGGCAGCTCTCTCAGGGGTGGGGCACTGAGTTTCGCCCCTGCAGGTGGGGGCTGTGTTTTGTTCTCAGGGCAGTGAGAAGGCCTTTCTGAGGCTCTCCCAAGAAAGCCGGATGTGATTTACCCCTGAAACCATGTGGGGATTTGCTGGGGTGGGTGGCGCAGTCAGGAGGCAGCTGCAAGTTTCCTGGGGCCGGCGGGGGAGACGCTAGCATGGTGGCCGTGGGAGTGGAGAGAAGCCACAGATTCAGCATGTTTTTGGTGGTTCATCTGCCATCAGCCGAGGGCCCAGCGCTCAGGCACTCAGCTGGGGTGACCTGGAGGACCCCAGTGCCGTCCTGTTTGGATGCCGAGGTCTCCGAGGTGTGTTCTTTCCTTTCTGGCCTCTGACCCCACATTCCTGAGAACTCCCCCTTTTAACCATTTTCAGCACAGATGCTTTGGGCCCCCAGGCCTCCAGTCTAGAACCAAAGACAGCCACCCAAGTTAGGGCTGATGTTGCACGACGAGGGCAGGCGCGAGGAGACTACACCCTGCCCGCATCTGGCCGGCTGGAGGGATTATTTTCTGGTGGGGCAGGCAGGCCATTTTATTTTGACTACAATGTGATCTGTTTTCTCCCCTCCCAAGTCCCTTGGAACAGTCCTGGTCAGAGCCAGCGAGGGAGGAGAATCTGACCCCGGGGGGTGCCTTCGGCCCTTGTCTCTGCCCTGGGTTTCACCCTGGGCCGTGTTAAAGGAGGAAGCCTTAGGACATTCACTAGGAACTCAGTTCCACCTGGATCTCTATAGGTTCCACGGAATGAAATCTCGGGGTCCCCGGGACCCCTGCCGACAGGAATGGCGCCCATGTGTGTGAGAAGCGGGTGGCCTGGCCCTGGCTCTGGGATGGGCAAAGACCTGGCTAGCAGGTTTCTGAGGGCACCAAACCCCCAAGCTTCTTGCCTAACAGTCCCAGCTTGGAAAACAGTGCTCATGGCATGGCTGGGTTGGCCCGAGAGGCAAGCAGCCAGGGCCTTTGTGCCTGGGCATTGGGGTCAGGGCAGACAGCTTGCCACACTGCTCACACTGGCCGTGGGGACAGAGTCATGGAAACACATATGCCTGCCTCTGCGGGGGGAGTGCTGAGGTCACAGGGCGGCCCCGCTGATAAGCTGCCTCCCAGAGTCTGCATTTTAGGTGCATGTGGCCAGCCAGGCTGGGGAGCGAGGGGGTCAGCTTGCATTCTGTCCATCCCCAGAATGCTCAGGTTGGGCTTCAGGCCCTGCAGGGCACTCGCAGCCTCCTGTCCTCTCCCCTGCAGCCCCACCCAGGGTCATGTCCTCCCTCCCCAGCTGGGCCTGGCGTGAGTCCACCCCCTGCCCCATGTCCAGCATGCAGTCCCTGGGGAGCTGGAGTCCTCGGCCGGGAGTCAGGACACCTGGTTCACCCTGCGCTGCGCCACTGGGCCCAGGCCCCCACCCTTGGGGCCTGCCTTGCCCTCTCAGTGAACGAGGCTGGACTCTGGCCAGCCTGCTGACCTCGTCCTGGCCGGCAGCCTGCCACCCCTCCCTCTGCCGGCCACGACTGTGCAGGGCTGGGTGGGCGCCGGAGGACGCGGATGAGCTGTGTCAGAGTAGGCCCCCGCAGCCAGGGCTTCCTGGGAAGGGCTGGCGGGACAGGCGGGCCCCCCAGGTGACCCCTGCTCCTGGCTGTCTGCCCAGCACCCTCCCTCCTGCCTGTTAGCCCCAGCGGGAGAGCTCCACGTTCCTAGATGGACGCAAGATGTCTCTCATCGGGACCCCACCCGAGTGACTTTGGGAGAGAGAAAATCCCATTCTCCTTCAGCCCGCCAGCACTTCTTCGAGGCAGCTCTGCCTGGGTGTTTTCCTGGCAGACAACCAGAGATAGTGGGTTCGATTGCAAAACCCCGAGCCTGCCTGCCCTCCCCTCTCTTAATTCTTAAGAGAAGGTGCCTCGGTGCTTTTTGGCAGGGCCTGGCATTGGGAGTCCCTTCCCCCAAGCCTCAGTTTTGTCATGTGTAAGGTGGGCATGGATGGCTTATCACAAGAATAACTCACTTAATGTCAGGCCAGCGCCAGGCCACGAGGGCACTCAGGGAGGGAAGAGCTGTCGTCCTTTGGATCTGCTTTGGGACACAGCCCCCCCAAGAGGTCACCCCAAGACGGGGCTGGAAAGCAGCTCCTTCAGCTGTGCCCCTGGCATTTTGGAAGATCAAATGGCAATTTCACCATCGTTACTTTGTTCCACAAGTGACTGATGGCACCAGCATGTGCCAGGCATGGGGGTGCTGGAAACTGCACAGAAGAGGCCCTGACTCCAGGCCCTTAGATTCTGGTGAAGGGTGGAGAAGAAAAGCCGTTGTTTATGGGTTAAGTGGGGGATGGGTGCACCCACTTATCCCGTAAACAACGGGATAAGCTGTGCACCCACTCATGTCCTTTCTGTCTTGGTGGATTGGCCCATTCTGTACTTTTTTGTTTGAGATGGAGTCTCACTCTGTCACCCAGGCTGGAGTGCAGTGGTGCCATCTTGGGGCATGGGGGTCCGGGGAGAGTAAGCTGGTCGGCGGGATGGCCTCTGGGGAGGTGACACTGGAAGGCGATGAGAGCGTTAGTGTGAGAGAAAGCCAGTTCCCCCACCCCCGAGAACCGCAGTGCAAAGGCCCTGTGGCCTCATGAGCACATGTCCAGTTGACAGCAGAGAGGCCTGTGGCAGGGAGTGCAGTGGAGTGAGCAGCCTAACCAAAATAGTCAAACCCCATCTCTATTAAAATACAAAAAAATCAGCCAGGTGTGGTGGCAAGTGCCTGTAATCCCAGCTACTAGGGAGGCTGAAGCAGGAGGATCACTTGAACCCAGGAGGCAGAGCTTGCAGTGAGCCAAGATCGTACCACTGCATTCCAGCCTGGGCAATTGAGCAAGACCCCATCTCCAAAAATAAAAAATAAAATAAAAATAGAGAGGGTGGAGGGTGGGGAGAGCCAGCCAGGAGGGCTTCTAGAGGTGGCGCTCCCCAAGCATGGCTGTGGGACGAAAGGCACTTGGATGGGCCCTGAGCTCTGGGCATTTGCCCCTTTCTCCTCCATCGGCTGCTGCTCCCTCTGGGTGCTTAGGACCGTCATTCCCCTCGAGGACTTGAAGCCAGCCCGGGTGTTGGCTACGGCCTTCCTTGCCCATCAGGGAGGTCTGGCTGGCATCAGAAGGCCTCTTGTAAACTCTAAAGTGCTGTCTCCCTGACCACAGACCCCACTTACTCCCACCTCGCTCTGGGGGCTCAAGAAAGAGGGATCTGGGCCTCTCTGCACCCCCAGAGGGTGCCTGCTGAGAGCTTCAGAGCTTCTGGGCAGTAGCTCCTGCCCTCCCTCCCCAGCCAATCTGACGGCCCACCCACCCTCACCACCAGGTGAGGAGCCACAGGGAAACCGAGGCACAGGAGAGCGCTCAGGCCCCATGTAGAAAGCCCGAGCTCATGGGCAGTCTCAGGAGTGGTGGCACATCATGTTTTGTGTGCATTATAGAATCATATTTTGTGTCTCTGTAGAATTTACACATACACAAAAGTTCGAATTTCAGCCTTAAAATTTGTATTTTATTGTTTTGCTATCTATACACACATATAAAATACAACATTGTTTTTTACTGTTCTTGGAGAAAATACAGCTGATACCTCAAACCCTTTATTTTATGGCTAGCACATAGTACAGTCTTCATTTCATTTTGTGACAGTGTCATTAAGATATCCTTCGTGTACCATACAGTTCACCATTCAAAGCATGTCATTTAGGCCAGGCTCAGTGGCACACACCTGCATTCCTAGCCCTTTGGGTGGCGAAGGCAGGAGGCTAGCTTGAGCCCAGGCGTTCAAGACCAGCGTGGGCAGCATAGAGAGACCTTGTCTCTACAAAGAGATGCAAAAATCAGCCAGGCGTGGTGGCGTGTGCCTGTAGTCTCAGCAGTTCGGGAGACTAAGATGGGAGGATTGTGTGAGCCCAGAAGGTCGAGGCTGCAGTGAGATTGCAGCACTGCACTCCAGCCTGGGTGACGTGACAAGACCCTGTCTCAAAAAACATGTGTATCATTCAGTTCTTCTTCGTATATTCAGTGTTTCACTGAGAGAGAAACCCTATACCCATCGGTAGTCACCCCCATGCGCCCTCCTCCCAGCCCTGCACCCACTCATCTCCTTTCTGTCTGGGTGGATTGGCCCGTTCTGGACTTTTTTTTTTTTGAGATGGAGTCTCTGTCGCGCAGGCTGGAGTGCAGTGGTGCAGTCTTGGTTCACTACAACTCCACCTTTCGGGTTCAAATGATTCCCCTGCCTCAGCCTCCCGAGTAGCTGGGATTGCAGGCGCCTACCACCATGCCCAGCTAATTGTTGTATTTTTAGTAGAGACAGGGTTTCACCATATTGGCCAGGCTGGTCTCGAACTCCTGACCTCGTGATCCACTTGCCTCGGCCTCCTGAAGTGCTAGGATTACAGGCATGAGCCACTGCGCCCAGCCTTGGACTTCTCACAGGAATGGATCTACACTAGAGGCCTTCTGTGACTGGCTTGTTTCACGCACACTCTGTCTTCAGGGTCCGCCCACGCCATATCCCGTATCAGAGCCTCGTGCCTTTCGATGACCGAGTGTTCCACTGTGCAGGCAGGGCAGGGCACGCTTTTCCTCCCTTTTCCTCTCTTGGTGGGTGTTGGGTTGTTCTGCCTTCTGGCTGCTGTGGGCAGTGCTGCTGAGACAGGCACTTGTAGGTTTCTGGGTGGATATTTGCTCTCATTTGCCTGGCGTGTGCCTAGGAGTGGAGCTGCCGGGCCTGGGGCAAGGAGGACTCGCCGACTGCTTTCCAGAGTGGCCGCAGTGTTCTCTTTTAAATGCAAGCTTGCAAGTGCGAGCTGATTGAAGTGGATGGTGGCAGGTGAACCTGAGGGGAGGGGCATGGGGGCGGAGGGGGTGGAAGCCGTAGGTGGAGAAGGCTGGGACAGGTGACACCATCTGTGTTTGGACCTGGCTCAGGGTTCCTTGGCCTGAGGATGGTGGGCAGAGTACGGCTGGGCCCAGGTCCCGGGAGCAAGGCAGGGCAGCGGCCGAAGGAGAGGCTTTAGGTGGTCCTTGGAGAGCAAGCAGGGTCTGCACAGATGGAGGGAGCAGGGGAGGAGAGTGGGCCAGCAGCAAGTGGGCTGGCAACAGGGACGGCGGAGGTGCCTGCAGAAGTCAGGGTGACCTTCTTCATCCAGCGCCCGCCTGTGTGCCGTGGGCAGCCTCAGCAGGCGCCACCAAGTCTGTGTCTGCTCTCCCTGCTCAGCCAAGCGTGTGGCAGATTCGGGCAGCAGGCTGGTACCCGCAGGAAGGCTGGTCGCATGCCGGTGGCCCTGTGGTCCTGCTATGGCAGAGAGTGGAGAGGGGACTGCCGGCAGGGGCCTCAGCACCGCGGGCGTCTGCCTTGCTCATCTGCAGGAAGGAGGTGGGTGCTCCCGAGTGCCGGGCATCCTGCACTGGAGGCCGGGCACTGGGGTGGTATAGGCTGTGTCAGCATTGTCACAGCTCTCACAGCGAGACCGGTAGGTTGCGGCTTACAGTCTACATAGGACATTGTCACTGTGGTCACAGCACAGAGTAGGGGCTGTGCTGACAGTACCTGCCGGTTTCCAGCACTCAGAAGTTTTGCCTGAATTCCAGGCCCATGGCTGGTTCCCTCATGCCCGCCGTGTAGTCGTTTCACTGGCTTGGAAGCCCTGGGACAGGGACGGGGTTCTTCGTCACCTACATACTCCCAAACACAGGCCAGCTGCTCTATGCCTAGCAAATGTAAGTTGCAGGAGGGAGTTGAGAAGTGGGCAGCCACACTGGACAGGTGAAGGGTTCTCAGGCTGGAGCAGACCCAGTTCCTGCCCTCAGAGGCCTCATTGCCAACTGGGGAGCCAGGTGGGAATTATGGCAGGTGCTGTGCCCAGGGTTGGGGTCTTGGAAAACCTGGAAGGCTTCCTGAAGGAAGCGGCCCCCACAGAGCAGTTTGGGAGTCATGCCACGTGCTCTGGGGGCACTGCCTGCCCTGTGTTGGCCTCTGGTTGTGCATCTCAGTAGCGGACAGAGGAACTGTCTCTGTGGCTCATTGGTAGACAGTGGACACGCCCTGCCTGCCCCTCCGCATGAAGCCTGTGGCCTAGGCCCTCATTTTTACGTCCTCGTCCTTTGTGGGTAGTGTGCGGGAGAGATTCCAGGAAGTGGGTACAGCTCCCCCACTGCTGCCTCCGGTAACCGGAGCCCATTCGGCTCTGTGCCCACCGCCCTGCCCTGGCACCCCGGCCTCTCAGATTCAAGGAATGAGGAATCTCTTGGTGAATCTTCATTTCTCTGTCCCTGCGTTGGGCTGATTCTTTGGTTTTCTGGCAGTGTCTAAAGGGCCACACGTGCTGTGGGCCCAGGTCTGGGCTTCTCTGGGATTTTCCTTGCCTGGGGAAGCATCCTTGGGGGATGTTTGATCTCTGCCTGGGCCTCTGGGCCCTGCCCGGCTGGCCTCTGGGCCGGGGTGGGAGGCCAGCTTGGCCCCTGATGGGGCCTGCAAGAACCAGGGAGTGCGCGAGGAGCCGCCTGCCCCCATTCGTGCCTCTCTTCCCCGGGCCCCGAATCTCAGTCTGTTTCCCCAAGAGAAACAGTGACATTGTCTGGGTGACCTGCACAGTCGCCTCCCATCTCAGGGCCTTAGCCTTGTCCCCAGGGCTTGAGACAAGAGAGGCCATCGAAACTGGGCAGCCCCCTCCCTGCAAGAGTCTGGCTGTGGACCCCCAGCTGATGGTGCTCATGTCTCCGCAGGCTGCTGTCCCCGAGGCCCAGCCTCCTGACCCCTACTGGTGACCCCCGGGCCACCACCTCGCCCCAGAAGCCGTTGGACCTGAAGCAGCTGAAGCAGCGAGCAGCTGCCATCCCCCCCATCGTGAGTGCCCGCGCCCAGGCCCCACCAAGCCCACCCTGACCTTGACTTTACCGTTCATCAAGACAGAATCCCACAGCGGGAGCATGCACCTGCAGCCCAGCTCATCTGCGCCTGTTTCCCGGAGAAAGCCCCACGGAGATGAGGGAGGAACAGCTGGGGAAGCTGGCAGGCTTGCCAGGCGGGACTCCCAGTGAAGGAGGGGACTGGTGGCCTAAGGCCTCCTCCCTTCCACCTTCCAGCACCCTTGAACCCCCACATTAGACACTGGGTCATAGGGAGGCAGGGGGTTCCCCCACTCACTCAGCTGTAGCAATATGTTGGCCAGGGAAGAGTGGGGACTACCAGTTCTGACCTTGGGGCCCTGAGGGAACATCTTCTGGAAGGTTCTCCCAGCCAGGTGGGCGGGGCCTTGGAGGTGCCTTCTCCAGTTAGGTGGGTCAGGGCTTCCTACATGCAGCCGGGACTCCAGGCTAAAAGACCCTAAGCTGACCAGGCTGGTGGTCCCTCGAGGCTTTGAGTGATGGGCTCAGGATGTGCCAGGCTGCTGCTGCCCAGTCCCCGAGGCCCACACAGTCCTGCTGTTCAGTCCTGGCTTCCCTGAGACCCAGAGGATTTGGGTCCAGGGAGAGGGTAACAGCAGGCTCCAGCCTGCTGTCCATCACCCAGCAGCTGGGCCAGGCTTTTTGGGGATGTGGCCTCTCCCTGTCCATCAATGGGCAGCTGGGCCAGGCTTTTTGGGGGTGGGCTCCCCAATGTGCTCTGTGCTAAGACCTCCCCTCCTTGCCCCACGTGGGACCTTGAGCATGTCACTGGCTTTCCCGGGCCTCGATTTCCAGGCTGGTCACACACAGGTCTCTTCCTGACGCTGTCATCTTCAGACGCCCTCTGTGGATGCTCACTCCTGCTTCCTTCCCCCAGCAGGTCACCAAAGTCCATGAGCCCCCCCAGGAGGACGCAGCTCCCGCTAAGCTGGCTGCCCCGGCCCCACCGCCACAGCAGCACCTGCAGCCGGAGAGCGAGGCCCCTCAGCAGCCCGGCAGCAGTCCCCGGGGCAAAAGCAGGAGCCCAGCGCCCCCCACTGACAAGGAGGGTGAGTGCACACCAGTGGGGCTGGGACAGCAGGGAACTGACGGGCAAGGGACATTTGTATGTCCAGAGCAGCTGCTGCAAACCCCAAGGCCACCCTGGTAGGGAAAGCAAAGTAAACGAATGGACCGGCTGGGCGGGGGGAGGCAGCTGGGAATGGCAGGGGCTGCGGCAAACTGGAGCACTCATGGTTTCTCTAAAGTGGGCACATACTGGCCTTGGCCAAGAGTCACCTCGAGGCAAAACAGGCCTGGGGTGCTTCTTCCAGCAAAGCCAGAAATGACGTTCTTGTGTGAAAGCCCCCTGGTTTCTCAACACCGGCAACTTCTCAGAATTTTCAAAAGCACTGTGAATACACAAAAACATCTGCGGCCCAGCCTCTGGTTCGATGTGATTCAGTCCATGTGGGAGCTTCTGGAATCACAGATGGGGCCTGGTGCCCGGCTGGCAGCAGTGCTGGGGCCTCGGCAGGAAGGGCTGCCCTCCCACCAGCTCGAATCCTGAACCTGCTCCAGGCCAAGGTCTCTGGGTTCACCAGGAGCCCTGGTGGGGGTGACTCTCGAGCAGCTGTGTCACGGTGGCTGCCCCGGGCACACCTCACTGTCATCACGTGAAGCTCAAGGTCGGGAGACAGGCGGGTGTGGTTGCTCTTTCTCTGGATCTTCAGTCTCTGCCTCCCTTCACACTGGGCCCAAGAAAGTCCCAGCCAATGTCCCCAAAGAGGCAGCTTCTCCAGCCCAGCCTGGCATGCAGCAGGTGCTGTCGTGCCCTGCAGGCATTGGGGGCTGCCTCCCCAGAGGTACCCACCCTGGGCCAACCCGGGTGCTTGCTGGCTGTCTGCTCCCAAGGTGTGAGGGCAGCAGGACCCCAGGCCAGCCTCCCTGACCAGCACAGCCCAGGGATGAACCCAGGTGATCGGCGCTACCACCAGCTGCCCCCTCACCACTGCCTCGGGTTGGCATCCCCTTCTCTTTATTTTTTTTATTTTTTTGAGAAGGAGTGCCGCTCTCACCAGGCTGGAGTGCAGTGGCATGAAACGATCTCTTCTCACTGCAACCTCCGCCTCCAGGGTCTGCCTGAGGCTGCTGGGTCAGGACATATGTTGAATACCCAAGGCCCCAAGCACCGTGCGAGGCAGTGGGGATGCGACAGGAGAACAGGAAGTCTCTGCTCTGGGGAGCTGCTGTTTCTGTGCATGAGGAGGATATTAAACCAGGGGACACGTAACCAGGCAAGGTGGTTTTAGAGTTGTTTGTCCACCATGAGAAACAAAACGGATTGACTGAAGAGGCAGCTCCAGGAAGGACCCTGTGGAGGGGGGGTAGCAGCCCCCCGTGGCAGATCTTGGGGTGAGTGTGGCAGGCAGAGGGGACAGCGTGTGCAGAGGCCCTGGGGTGGGAACGTGCTCGGGGTAAGTGAGGAGCCGCCGGGGGTGGTGGTGGCTGGGGAAGAGTAGGGTGGTGGGACAGTCAGGGGAGTGGGGACCGCATTGTATAGGGCCTCTCAGGCCACCGGGGAGAGGGGATTTTGTCTCAGGTGTGGCAGAGGCTTTTGAAGTGTGTGTTGCGGCGGGGGAAGGGGGCTCGTGTTATCTGATTGATATTTTGGAAGGCTCTCTCTGGCCATTGTCAAGTCAAGGGCAGAAGCAGGAGGTCAACAGTGCTGCTCTTGGCAGGCGACAGAAGCTGCCTGAACTGCGCAGGTGGCTGTGGAGGTGGAAGGAAGGGCGTGTCGGGAGTTTGTTTTGGAGTCAAAGCCAGCAGGGCGTTGAACCCTGTGTGGGGATGACGCCAGTGATGTCTCCCTGGAACCGGGACGCCCCATGACGAGGGCTGGGCTGCCCGGGGCCAGGGTCCAGTGTGCGGCCTGGGGCGTGGCTCTGAAAGACGTTGCTGGTTTGGGGCACCATGGAGCTGCGTAGGTGTGTCAGGAGCCCCGATGGCTTTGGCCAGTGTCAGATGTGAGCAGGGCTGGAACTGCAGGGCGCCAGCCAGGTCCTGCTAAGCCAGGTCGAGGGCCCTTGTCCTGGGAGAAAGGGAGCCATTGGCCAGCAGTTCCTGTGGCTGGCACTTGGCTCATTGGTGTGGCCAGGGCCTCGCTGTTTCCTGGCCTCATTCCCCGTGGGGACGGTGCACCTGGCGTCAGGCCCTACATGCCTTTCTTGCTCAGCCTGGCTTGCAGCTCAGCTCCCGCAGGGACACACTTGAACTTGACACCCAGCTCCCTCTCTGGTCTCTCAGGAGGGCCTCCTCTGCCCCTGGCTCCCAGGCAGAGCAGCTCAGCCAAGCAGGTCCATCGGGCCCCCTGGGCCCAGCTGGAGGAACAGGTTGTCTCTCCAGGCTCTCGGCTGCCCGCCCAGCCTGGCCTAACCCCAGCTTGCCTTCCAGCATCGGGCCCCTCCCCTCCACCCTGCCCCCAGCTCTCTTGAACTGGGCTGGAGGAAGCCCCAGAGGCATACAGGGCTGAGTAGCTGGAGGGGCCAGGTCTAGGGCCTTCGCAGGATTTGCAGGCCTGAGCCAGGCCCTGTAGAGATGCCTCCACTGGGGATGGTAAGAATGAGAATTCCCCTGCATCTGTGACCCCCGCCTCCTGTGGGCTGCCCACCTCACCAGGGCACAAGTTCAGGGGAAACTCAGTCCTCGAGGAGAGAACTGGGGGCAATTCGGCACTCAGACCTCCTTTCCCACCTGCCCTGCTCACAGCACGCAGCACCCTCCTCCCTGTCACACCCAGTGAGTCCTCAGATCCACTGTTGTTCATCTGGAGGTGGCCTGAGAAATGACACCTGCCTGCCATTCCTGTCCCGGGGCAGAGGGCTGCGTCATCCCCAGGTCGTGTCTCTGCTCAGCTTCTTGGCCGGTTATCCCCTCCTAGGATTGGTCCTCAGGGAGAGGTTCAGAGCTGAGACCAGATTTCAGCAAAGGGTGAGAGGCCGGCGGGAGGATGCCATGAAGGCAAGCATGAGCCCCTGGCCCTGCTGAGTTTACAGGCTGTCCCCAGGCCTGAAATCTAGGACCAATCACTGTTTCTCTGCCACAGGCATAGCGATCCAGGCTAAGGCCATGGTCTGCAACCCCAGCGCCTGGCTTAGAAGCTGCTATCTGCCAATTGCTAGCTTGGGCCTTTGACCAGGTGGCTTAACCTCTCACCCTCCGTTTTCCCATCTGTGGAATGGGGATAATCACAGTCAGTTCCTTATAGGGTACTGTGAGAATAAATGAGTGAATGCGCTTAGGTTCACGTCAGCTGTGGCGGCCTGGGAGCATCACCTCTCGGTACTGCCCTTTGTGGCTGTGGGGGCTTCTGAGCCCAACTTGGCTGTTTGCTGGTGAACTCAGATAAGCCTGTTGATATCTGTACCTCAGTTTCCCCTCTGTAAAATGGGTCTGGCAGCAGTCTCTGTTGAGCTTAACACAGGGCTAATGCAGGCTGTGGGGTCCTGAGCACAGTACCTGTGCAGACTACCACTCAGCAAACTGACGCCGACACTGTGGTTATCATCTGGAAGACTGGACTCATAACCCCTGCTGCCTGCCACAGCATTCACACACATGCACATACACACGCACACACATGCACACACACACACGCATGCACGCGCATGCACACATCCACACATGCACACACATCCACACACATGCACACACGCATGCACACATCCACACATGCACACACACATGCACACACATCCACACACGCACACACATCCGCACGCACACACATCCATACACACGCACACATATCCACACACATGCACACCCACACATCCACGCACACACACATCCACACACATTCATACACACGCACACACATCCACACACATCCACACCCACACACATCCGCGCACACACATCCACACACACGCACACACATGCACACACACATCCATACATGCACACACATCCATGCATACACATCCATATACATCTACACACACATTCATACACATTCACATACCTGCATATCCATACACACACATCCACACATACACATCCATACATGCACGCACACACGTACACATCCATACACACCCACACATGCACATGCACACACATCTGTATACACACATACACATCCATACATGCACACACACACATCCATATACATACACATGCACACACACATCCATATACACATCCATATACATACACATGCCCGTATGCATTCATATACATCCACACATACATATCCATACACATCCACTACACATGCACACACACCCATATACACACGCACACACATGCACACATCCATGCACACACTCATACACACATGCACACACATCTACACACTTGCACACACATATCCATCCACATGCACATTTCCACACACACATCCACATGTGCATACACATCTACACATGCACACACAGCCACACACATGCACTCACACATGCACATCCACACACACACACACAAACACATCACAGGTTACCTCCTTCATCACTGTGTAGAGCACAGGCCAGCAAACTTTTTCTGCAAAGAGCCAGAAAGTAAATATTTTAGCCTTTGTGGGCCAGACGGTCTCTGGCAAGAACTCAGCTCTGCCATAGACAATAAATAAATGGACAGATGTGACCACACGTTAGTCAGAGTGTACTTACAAAGTCAGGCACTGGGGCCAGGCGTGGTGGCTCACGCCTGTAAATCCAGGACTTTGGAGGCCGAGGTGGGTGGATCTCTTGAGCCCAGTAGTTCAAGACCAGCCAGGGCAACATAACAAGACCTCATCTCTGCAAAAATAAAAAGTCAGTTAGCCAACCATGGTGTGGTGATACGTGCTTGTAGTCCCAGCTACTTGGGAGCCTGAATTGGGAAGATCCCTTGAACCCAAGAGTTCAAGACCAGCCTGGACAACATAGCAAGACCCCATCTCTACAAAAGTAAAACGTAAATTAGCCAGGCATGGTGTGGTGATGGGCACCCGTATTGCCGGCTACTTGAGAGGCTGAAGTGAAAGAATCGCTTGAGCCCAGAGGTCGAGGCTGCAGTGAGCTGTGATGGCACCAGTGTACCCCAGCCTGAGTGACAGAGCAAGACCCTGTCTCAAAAACCTGAGGGCAGACAGACCCTCTGAGCTGCCGTTTGCTGTCCCCTGGCCCAGAGGCCTGTGCAGGGACCTTGCCTCGCTGGGCTTAGTTGAGCGCCTCTGGGGTTGCAAAGCCACTGGGTCCCGTTCTTGTTCTTGGGGCAGCTGAGAGCCCCCAGCCCAGGCCTCGAGCCCCACTCCCCTGCTGAGCAACACGCTGTGGGGTTAGAGAGCAGCGCCCAGGCAGGCTGGCTCAGGAGGCTTCCCAGTGGAGCCCATGCTGTCACAGACTGCCACCACTGTGGGTGCAGGAAGGACATTTGAGCAGGGTTGGCCAGGGCTCCCCAGGTCTGACTGCCCCACCTCCTACCCTCAGCAGAGAAGCCTGTGTTCTTCCCAGCCTTCGCCGCTGAGGCTCAGAAGCTGCCCGGGGAGCCCCCTTGCTGGACTTCCGGCCTGCCCTTCCCCGTGCCTCCCCGTGAGGTGATCAAGTCCTCCCCGCATGCCCCGGACCCCTCAGCCTTCTCCTACGCACCACCTGGTGAGTAGCTCTACCCGAGCTCGGGCTTCTAGTCGGTCCACGCACAGCCACTGTTTGCGCTGTTGGCACTGGCTGAGCTGCATGCAGAAAACTGCTTAAAGTCTGACGGGACCCAGCTAGAGGGACGGCCTGGTCAGTGGAGGGGAAGGAGATCGGAGAAAGCTCCTCAGGATTGAGATTAAAGCCACTGACTAGAGGGAGCCACCGCAGGTGCTTGAGCTGGTGAGAGGCAGGCGAGTGGAAACTATGTTTTCCAAATATGGCTTAGAGCTAGAGAATGGGCAGACAGCAGAGCCTGGGGAGGGAGGAGAGGCGCTGCCTGGTTCCCAGGTGATGTGAGGTCGTGTGCAGGTCCTTTTCCAGGTCCAAAAGTCCTGCTGGGCGTTGCCAGCTGTAAAGTGGCACAGCTAGGGGCCGGTACAGACCATGCTGTTCGCAAAGGGTGATCCCAAGGGATGTGTGGGCCAAGGGAGTCAGAGAACAGGGAAAGTCATGCCAGGCAGAGGGAACAGCATGTGCAAATGTCCAGAGGCAGGAGAGAGCGGGCAAAGCCTGAGAAACTTAGTCCGGCCAGCACTGCCAAAGCTTGGTGGCCAGTGAGCTGGGGAGACCCAGGGGCCAGGTCAGCCAAGCCTGCAGGCCAAGTTGGGGGCAAAGACTTTCTCCTGAGGGCAGTAGGGAGCCTCCGAGGGTGCACAGCAGGGGGAGGGTACGCACTCATAGGCTTTGGTCCCCTTGGTTCCTGTAAGGGGAAGGAACTACTGGGGGCTGCAGTGGAAATGGAGAGACCAGTTAGGGGTCCAGGTGAGAGTTGAAGGGCTTGGACCAGGACCTGGGCAGTGGGGTGGGGTGGGAGGCTTCCTCAGGGTAGTGGTGTCCGCACTTAGGACTCGGGTCACTAATGAGGACAGAGCCAGGCAGGGCAGGAAAGGGGCACGATTGGATGGGCACCTCCTGGCCAGGACAGGGAAGAGGTGGAGTGCCGCCCCGGGCATGTGTCCAGCAGGGGTGTGACCGCTCCTGGGCCCCACGGTGGACAGACATGTGCTCTCCAGGTCACCCGCTGCCCCTGGGCCTCCACGACACCACCCGGCCCGCCCTGCCACGCCCACCCACCATCTCCAACCCGCCTCCCCTCATCTCCTCTGCCAAGCACCCCAGCGTCCTCGAGAGGCCAATAGGTGCCATCTCCCAGGTGAGGGGTCGCCCTTCCTCTCTCAGGGGCTTGGTCTTCCTGTCTATAGAGTGGGGGCAGTGGGACCGGTACAGTGTGGGTGGGAGCCAGGCTCTCAGGGGCCTGGGTCATCTGGGACCACTCAGGCGTCTGGGGTTTGAGCTGGCTGGATCCTGCCTCAGGTGCTCAGGGCCTTGTCCCTGGGGGGTCACTCTGTGTTGCGGTCAAGGGCACGGGCTCTGGAACCAGTTTGTGTGGCCTTGGGCAAGTTGCTTCACCTCCTGTTTCCCCCTCCGTGAAATGGAAGGGCAAGTGCAGCGTGCGTGGAGGGCGCAGCCCCCTCACAGGGGAGGGGACCAAGGCTTGGGAGCAGCAGTGACTTGTCTGCCGTCACACAGCTGGGCAGCAGCCCCGGCCTCTGACCCACACATGGGCTTTGTGAACAGGGGCGTCGGGCACTCTGGCCTGTTGGGCAGGGACCAGGGTGCCCCGTGACCTTACAACTTCATCCCTGCAGGGAATGTCAGTCCAGCTCCATGTCCCATACTCGGAACATGCCAAGGCCCCGGTGGGCCCTGTCACCATGGGGCTGCCACTGCAAATGGACCCCAAAAAGCTGGGTAAGGCTTCTGGTCCATCCATCTGGGTGGCCCAGGCTGGGCCCTGGCTGTCCTGTGGGTGGGGGGGTTGAGGAAGGGGCATCTTGGCCCACAAGAGGTCAGCCAGCAGATAGCAGCTGGGAGGTCGCCCCCTCAACAGCCTTGGCTGGAACGTGGTGGGAAGGTGGTGCTCCCCAGCCCCTGGCTCAGGTGGGGTGGGGGCAGACCACCCAGGAGCCTGTCCGGGCAGCACGTGACCTACTCCTCTTACTGGTCCTCAGCACCTTTCAGCGGAGTGAAGCAGGAGCAGCTGTCCCCACGGGGCCAGGCTGGGCCACCGGAGAGCCTGGGGGTGCCCACAGCCCAGGAGGCATCCGTGCTGAGAGGTAAAGCCCCCAGCATCTGCCCCTGCTCCTTGGATGGCCAACGGGCCCTTTACTCAAAACCTGCTGGGAAGTGTCATCTCCCAAAGGGTCTGGGAGCCCCTCTTCGATGCCGTCTCCCTCACCATTTAGGGGCAGGGGAACTCCCTCTGCATTGAGACAACAAGCACAATTTGTGGGTCACCAGGGGCTCACTCAGGGTGACTCTCAGGACCGGGGCCTAGGGAAGGGCCACAGATACCCCACAGCCCCACATCTTGTGTCTTCCAGGGACAACTCTTGGCTCGGTTCCAGGCGGAAGCATCACCAAAGGCATTCCCAGCACACGGGTACCCTCGGACAGTCCCGTCACGTACCGCGGTTCCATCACTCATGTAGGTGTCCTGGGATGCAGCCTGAAGGCTGGGGTGGGACCAGCACTGGGCCAGCCCATTTTATACTCCCCCCTTGTCACCAAACCCTTAGCCTCAGCTGATGGGGCAATGGCCGGGGGACAGCAGTTCACTCTGTGAACTTTTATCTTGTCTGCATGGAGTCAGGCCCTGGGGTTGCCGAGCACAGCTCAAAACTCTGCCCTCAGGGAGCTGCCATGTGGTGGAAGGAAACAGACCAGGATAACTAAGTAGGGGGTCAAAGCTGAGCAGGCAGGCAGGCAGAATGTGAGCGTTCAGCAGCTGAGAACGCCTGGGGCCGGGGACATTGTTTAGACAGGTGAGGAAGGGGACGTGTCAGCCGCAGCCAGAAGAAATTGAGGGTGCCAGCCGTGCGAGAATCTCGGAACAACATTCTGGGCTCAGGGAACAGCACGTGCAAAGACGGAGCGTGACAGGGTTCCTGAGTCGTGCGGGGACTGGTGCCCCAGCCTTGCAGCTGGTGAGCTGTGGCCCCGGGGCTTTGTGCCATGTGCATCTGGCTCTAGAACACAGTGACAGAGCGTGGCCCACACATACACACACGTGTGCGCACACACATGCGTGTTCACAGTGGAGCTTCGAGCATCAGGGTGGTCTGCGGGGAGGTATTTTTGACCCAGGCAGCCTCAACTCCTACCACAAAGGAGCCGTTTCCACTTCGCCTTCTCTGAATCTGGGTTTTAAAACTCTGAACTTTCAAAGGCAGCTGTGCTGAGTTGGAAGGGCAAGTGCTTTGGACAAAAGTCAGGCTGAGGGTCCTCAGGTACCAGCTCTACCACCCACGCAGGCAGGCAGGCAGGCAGCGGCCTGCCCTGACTCAGTTTCCCCTTTGGTGACAGTATTCCTGGGAGTGTCATTGTCCTGAACTTGTCAGGACCACGGGTTGACCTTTGAATTCTGAGCATCCACCGCCGGGGTTTCTGGGTGCTGTGACCTGCATCCTCCCTCACCCTCGTAGTTCTGCATGTGTCTGATTGCTTTTGGCAGAGGCAGCTGCCAAAATATGAGATGGGCAGGGGTCAGGCTTCCCCACAGCCTCGCTACCACACATTGGGGAAGTCAGCATGTGGCCCGCACACACAGACGTTCACTAACCGAGCGGGTGCCACGGGCAGAGACCATGTGGGCCCACAGCTGGCGAGGGAGGCTCAGGGAAGTCCCAGTTCCTTGATTCTCTAGGGACTTCCTGCCCATCTTGGGAGTTGAGTTCATGGGGCCAACAGCGAGAGGCCACAGGCTCATCTCCAGGAAGCAGATGTTATGCAAACAGAAGCTTCCCTGTTAATGGGAGTTTGTCCAGTGTATTCTCCTAAGAGCAGGAGCCACCAGCTGGATTTCTGTCCTCTGTCCATGCCACTGAAGATAGCCCTCTAAAATACTATATAGCTCAGAAACCTCAGGCTGTGCACGGCGGCTCACACCTTTCAACCCAGCACTTTGGGAGGCCAAGGTGGGAGGATAGCTTGAGCCCAGGAATTTGGGACCAGCCTGGACAAAAAGATGCCTGTCCCTACAGAAAATTTAAAACTTGTGTGGGCATGGTGGCACCTATGTGTAATCTCAACTACTCGAGACTGGGAGGCAGGAGGATTGCTTGAACCCAGGAGTTTGAGGTTACAGTGAGCTATGATGGTGCTCTACACTCCAGCCTGGGCAACACAGCAAGACCCCTTCTCAAAAAAAAAAAAAAATCAGATGCCTCAGTTCGATCATGGAGAGCCCCTTTTAAAAAATCATTTATTGTATATTGAGTAAGCCTCTGCTTTCTGCAGTGGATGAACCATCCACGTTAGGCTGGATACAGAAAGGGGTACACTTGTATCAGCCATCTCTGGGAGGGCTTCCCCCCCACCGGATGCTACAGGCGCCCCTGATGGGAGAGGTGCTGCCCCGAGCTGTCCCTGACTTAACAGCTAACGCTTCAAGTGCACAGGCATCTCAAAGCACAGCAGGGAGGTGCTGCTCAGAGCATGCGCTTTCAGAAGCTCAGGGGAGGGCTCGTCCGAGTTCAGGCCGTTGCCCTCCACAAAGGCCAGGACCTGCAGTGAACGCCCCGGGGCACACAGGTACTGCCCTCTGCCAGGGGATGTCCCCAGCCAAGCAGGTCCGGCCGGCTGGGGCGGAGACTCGGAGCTCACTGGTCCAGGTCTTAGGACCCCCTGCTGATGAATCTGCTCCCGGAATCCTAGAAAGAGAGGCGAGAATTTGAGATCTGGGGACCCCTTGACTGTGCCGGATGCCTTTGAGAATCAGCAGTGCTAAATGTCTCTGTTTTGTGGATGTGCAAACTGAGGCCCAGAAAGGTGGTCCCACAACAACTCGGTAGCACAGTTGCTGTTTGACACTCAGCAGTCTGACTCCAGCATCATATTCTGACCCCTGATGCTTGTGTTCCTGGAAGTCACCTGAGGCAGGATGCTACCCCACATGGCCCTCTGCTCTCTGCTTGAACACATCCTTCGACGGGGAGCTCACTCCCTATAAGGCAGTGGTTCTTAATTGGGGGCAATTTTGCCTGTCTAGGGACATTTTCGATTGTCCTGAGTTGGTAGGGCACACTCTGGAGAGGTGTGGACCACTGGCATTTAGCACTTGGAAACCAGGGATGCTCCCAAACATCCCTAGTGCCCAGGCCAGCCCCACAGCAATGAATGGCCCAGCTCCCACTGTCAGGAGGGCCGATGGGGAGAAACCCTGGGTTAGAACTAAAATGTCTGGTGTCCTGCCCTGATGCGAGTCCTTGTCCTGGTTTTAGGAAACAAAGTGCCTGACATGGTCGCAGGCACAGCACAGGAGCAGAAACCCCAGCATCCCCACCAGTTACTTTTTGGTAACTGAATGTCAAGGCTCCAAGGAGTGAAACCCATGCAGCGGTGGGGACACAGGCTCCGGGACCAGAATGTGCGGCTTCTGGTCCCCGCCTGCCCTTCACTAGCCAGGTCCCCCTGGGTGAAGTCCCCGTGCCTCAGTTTCCCCATCTGAAGCAGGCATAATCAGTAGGGTTGCCTGAGGGTTGGCCCAAGAATTAAACGAGCGAATCCGTAGAAAGTGCCCAGAGCAGTGTCTGTGGACGGCGAGCACTTGATAAGGGATCCTTCTGCAGCTTCCTCATGGGGTTTTGTTCCGTGCAAGCACTCACCCTTCTGAGACAGCGTGTGTGTGGACACAGTGGGCATTGGTGGGCACGTGGGCTTGTAAGTGCGTCTGTGCCTGTACTGGAGTTGAGAGGGGTCCTGGCTGCGGCCTCGGGCGCTCACTCCTCTGCACCTGCAGGGCACACCGGCCGACGTCCTGTACAAGGGCACCATCACCAGGATCATCGGTGAGGACAGCCCGAGTCGCCTGGACCGAGGCCGGGAGGACAGCCTGCCCAAGGGCCACGTCATCTACGAGGGCAAGAAGGGCCACGTCCTGTCCTACGAGGGTGAGTCGCAGGAGGAGAGGGGGCCCAGGACTGGGTTAGGTGTGTGCTTGGCCCGTTGAGGTAGTTTAACAGGGCTGGGTTGACAAGAGAAAGCAGTCTGATAGGTGGTGACCTTCCCGTCCCTGCAGGTATACAGGCCAGCAGCCGGGAAGCGTTGGCCTTAGCTGCCTCCCCCCTCTGGCCAGTTCTTTACAATTTAGGAATCAAACTTGTGGCCACCCTTTCAAGGAGCATAGGAGGGAAACTGAGGCTTGGAGCAGAAGCCCAAGCTCACGCCCCAGGCCTCCAGCACTGTCCTGACAAAGTGCACACTCGTGTTGGCCATGAAAGAGCCCTTGGCCAGAGTGCCCCTCACCCCGCTGTGCCCCGGGCTCTCTCTGGAGCCCCCATCCTCTCCCTCTCTAGGCTCCAGGTTCTGGGACCAGGAGACCCTGCCAGGAAGGAGTTAAGGGAATCAAGCACCGGGAAAAAGAATTTCCTGGCAGCTGAGGGTACCCGGGGTGTGGAAATGGAAGCTGCTAATGGGCACCTCTCAGCACTGCAGCTGCACAGCCCGGAATTGCCTCTCCTCCCGAGGGCACCGTTTTCTTCTCCCTCTGCCTCCACCTCTGCCTGTGCCCACGGCCCCCTCCCCAGAACTGGAAAGTGGAGGTGGCACCGTGTGGCTTAGGAACATGCGCTCCCTGCTGCCACACAGCCGTGGAGACCGGCCTGTAGCTGTGTCTTGGGTGCCAGCTTGTGCCCCACTGCCCCTGGACTGAGTGTCCCTGGGTGGTGGGAAGCCTGGGAAGGGCAGGTAGCGGGGGTAGCAAAGGGCTTGTTTTGAGAGGTCCCTAGGTAGAATCCCACCGTGGGCCCCCAGACCAGTGCCTGAGCTTCCGTGGGCCTTGAATGTAGCATCTTCATCCTAGGTTTCTGTCGGGGCCTTTAAACTCTTGTCTGCTCCCTGGGCCGGGCAGGTGGTGCGGGCAGCGGCAGGTGTGAGGCAGTAGGGAGCAGGGAGGACTGTGTTACCTGCCACATCGTCCACCCCCCGTGGCCGCTGCTCAGCCAGGCTTCTCATCTCTCCGTTTTCATCTGATAATCTCCCAATGTGTGAACGTCAGTGATTAATTTGGAATGTTTTCTGAGCAGCAACTCGGCACCCTCCAGTTGGCAGCCTCTGGTGTACCTAGCTTGCAGGCTGAGGGCCACACAAAGCAATGCTTGAGAGTCTCGAGAACCCAGCAGTGGGTCATTCCCCCAAGGGTGGGCCAGGGCTCAGGGGGCTGATTTGTGGTAGTGCTGGGCTCGGCAGCCCTGGAAGGAGAGCCCTGGCTGATGGGCAAAGCCAAGTCCTTACCTTCCAGGGCCACCTCCACCTGTTCAACCCACTGCCCGTTCGGGGGATGGTGGACTAGACTCACCTGGGCTCCTCTGGCCTGGCGAGGCCCCCTCTGCCACAGAGGCTCCTTTACCACTCCCTGCAGCACACGCTTCCCATGCACACGCAGGCTTGCGGTCGGACACTCACATGCACACAGACACAGGCTTCCCTGTGTGTACACGGACCCACTTGGTTCTCAGCGGCCAGGCTCACGTGTGTGTGCCCACATCTACTCCACACACACCTGTGCCTGCCCCGCACGTCCACGCTGCTGATATATCTTTGCTCATGTACATGTGTGTGCACATGTTCACACCCCACGTTGGCGCCGTGTGTGTTGACAGACCCGCATGCTCGTGTGTGGTCACAGGCACAGCCCTGCGTGCAGACAGAGCGCCCCAGAGGCTGGGGTACGGGGTGCAGACAGCATGCCCTGGAGGCTGGGGTGCTGGGTGCAGGCGGGTTGCAGACAGAGCACCCCAGAGGCTGGGGGTGCGGGGTGCAGACAGAGCACCCCGGAGGCTGGGGTACGGGGTGCAGACAGCATGCCCTGGAGGCTGGGGTGCTGGGTGCAGGCGGGTTGCAGACAGAGCACCCCAGAGGCTGGGGGTGCGGGGTGCAGACAGAGCACCCCGGAGGCTGGGGTGTAGGGTGCAGACAGCGCCCTGGAGGCTGGGCTGCGGGGTACAGACAGCCTGCCCTGCCTCTGTTGCTGTGTAGCCCCCTGGAAAAGCTCCTGGGAGCTGCAGGTGTGGGCTCCCTTGGGAGCTCTCGGCTGTGAGGCATTGTGACGGGGCCGGCATAGAAGCGCTGCTGGCTCCTGTCCAACGCGCTGCCTGTCCACCATGATTCCGGGCACGTCCACCGTGGTCCTGGGCCCGCGCACATGGTCTCCTGTGCCCAGCTCCTCACGAGGGCTTTGCGTGGTTTCCAGGTGGCATGTCGGTGACCCAGGGCTCCAAGGAAGACGGCAGAAGCAGCTCGGGACCGACCCACGAGACAGCCGCCCCCAAGCGTACCTACGACATGATGGAGGGCCGTGTCGGCAGAGCCATCTCCTCGGCCAGCATCGAAGGTGGGACCCTCGCTCTTCCAGTGATAGCAGGGAAGAGACTTCATCCCTCAGCGCTCCCTGGAGGGCGATGGGGTGATGACTGGCCCCATTTTACAGAGGGGAAACGAAGGCTGTGCTTTCTGAGGCTCCACGTGGAGGCAGCACAGGGACCCTCCCATGCTGGGTCCTACTCCACCATTGTCCCGGGGACGACCACTGGTGGCTGTAGACGCTGACCCCGTCACTGCCCAGTGATGTCTCAGGGACCCCCAGAATGACGCCCTCACCCTCTCCCACCCAGGTCTCATGGGCCGCGCCATCCCACCTGAGCGACACAGCCCCCACCACCTCAAAGAGCAGCACCACATCCGAGGGTCCATCACACAAGGTACCGCCCTGCCCACTGCTCCCTGGATGCCCCCCTCGAGTGTACAGTCGAGCAGGGCATGGGAGGGGAGACACAGCCAGAATGCGGGGGGAACAGGTACACAGAAAGGTGCACAGCACATTGCATGATCAGTACGTGAGCTCTGGAGCAAGGGTGTCTCTTATTTACTTGAAAAGAAAAATGAAAAGCCAGATACCACCCATCACCCCTCTGCTTTGAGGTGTCACTTACAGAGCAGCTGCCCTGTGCTTGGCACTAACCCAGGTGCCACCTATGTATCATTTTACAGAGCGCCCTGGTGAGGCAGATGCGACTGGGAGAGGCTTGGAGAGCGCTGAGAACTCTGTCGTTCTCGTGGCTGGTCCTTGACACAGACAGCTACTGTGAACTTGGCAGCTGTGTGGTTTTAATTTTTTATTTTTATTTTCTTGTTGTTGGAGACAGGGTCTCACTCTGTTGCCCGGGCTAGAGTGCAGTGGCAGGATCCCAGCTCGCTACAGCCTCCACCTTTCAGGCTTAAACAGTCCTCCCACTTCAGCCTCCCAAGCAGCTGCGACCACAGGCGCACACCACCACATCCAGCTAATTTTTGTATTTTTGTAAAGATGGGGTTTTGCCATGTTGCCCGGGCTGGTCTCAAACTCCTGAGCTCAAGCTATCTGCCTGCCACAGCCTCCCAAAGTGCTGGGATTACAGGCATGAGCTACTGTGCTCGGCCTGTGGTTTTAGCTTCATGATTTCATGGTGTCCACGACTTGCTGAGGTGGTTCAGTTAGTATTCTTGTTTTGTATATGAAGCAGCTGAGGCCCAGAGAGGTCAGATTCCCTGGTCAAGGTCACACAGCAAGTGAGGATTTGAACTCATGTCGTCTAGCTCCTGAACCTGCTGGCTCTTGGTGGGTCGGGGCAGGGCGGGGCGTGAGGATCAGTGCTGTCCTCCTGGCAGGGATCCCGAGGTCCTACGTGGAGGCGCAGGAGGACTACCTGCGTCGGGAGGCCAAGCTTCTGAAGCGAGAAGGCACGCCTCCGCCCCCGCCGCCCCCGCGGGACCTGAGCGAGGCCTACAAGACACAGCCCCTGGGCCCCCTGAAGCTGAAGCCGGCCCACGAGGGCCTGGTGGCCACAGTGAAGGAGGCGGGCCGCTCCATCCACGAGATCCCTCGAGAGGAGCTGCGGCACACGCCTGAGCTGCCCCTGGCCCCGAGGCCGCTCAAGGAGGGCTCCATCACACAGGTACGGCGGGGGGCCAGGCAGGCGGGCCCAGTTCTAGCAGGGGCAGCAGTGGCTGCGGGGCACTGCCCTGGGATTCTCCACATGGGGAAACCGAGGCTGAGAGCCCTTGGGTGCTTTACAGTCACCCAGCTGCTCATCACTGGGCCTTGGCTGTGCTGGTCCCGGGGCTGTGCTGGGGACATCAGACTCCTGACCTCATTCCGCTGAACTTCCACGTTCCCATTCTTCAGGGAGAGAAACTGAGGCCCAGAGAGGCCAGGCAGGCTTCCAATACCCCAGGACTAAGCATAGTAATGAGTGTCTGTGGCCTCTGGGCCACACTCAGCCTGAGGATGCTGTGGAGTGACATGTGTCCTCTGTGGCAACGCTCTTAGGCCACTGATTAGTGAATTCCCCCCCACACCCCATGGCAATACTCTGAGGATGCCGTGTAGTGAATTGTGCCCCCCGCCCCACGTGCAATGCTCTGAGGCCGTTGTCCCCCCCATGGCAATGCTCTGAGGATGCTGCATAGTGAATTGTGTCCCCCAACCCACCGGCAATGCTCTGAGGATGCGTAGTGAATCATGCGCCCCCCCGCCCCACCCCTTGCAATGCTCTGAGGATGCATACTGAATCGTGCCCCCTCCCCCCGCAATGCTCTGAGGTCGTTTACTTCATTACCTTATTTTATTGCTGAGTAAACTGAGGTTCAGAGAGGTTCAGGCACTCACCCAGAGTCACGCAGCAAATGCAGTTGTGAAACCCAAATCCAGATGTCTCTGTAGCTGCAATGTCGTTCTCAACATCCACTGCACCCACCAGCAGGTTGCACCCCAGGTGGCCCCAGCCCCATAGGCCTCCCTAGCTCAGTAGGGGAAGTTTCCTGCCAATGGTACGAGGAGCTGCTCTGTGGAGAGCCCCTGAGGCCACTGTCCCTCCATGTGGGCAGAGGTGGCCTCCTGTGAGGGGGAAGGAGAGCAGAGCTATCCCGGGGCCTTGGGGCTGTGAGGTGGAAGGACTGGGGTGGGTGTCCTAGGCGGAGTCCCAGCCTCCAGGAAGGTTTTGAAGCCGAAGACGAGGAGAAGGCAGAAGCAGTCAGATCACTGAATGCCCGGGGGAGGGTTTGGCTCTCAGCCCCCAGGCAATTATGGAGCCCTTGGCAAGCAGCCACCGCCTGACCAAGACAAGGCGCAGATTCTAGAGTATTCTTTTGAAAAACAAGGGCAGTTCCCGTTCTTAGGAACGTAACAAAGACATTCCTTAATAGACTTCTGTTGCTTGCAAAACCCTAAGGCCCCACAGTATCTGAGTCCCCTAAGCCTGCTGAAACAGGTCGGGGACCTGGTGGCCTGGCTGCGCAGGTCCCATTCTGGACAGTGACCCCCCATTTCCTCAGCCATCCTTTCTGTCCCGAGAGCAAACACCTTGGCCCTGACCTCTGTGTCCCCAGGTCTGAAAGCAAGCCTCAGGGTGGGTGGCACTGAGTCTGGGTGCTGATTTTCTCTGCTTGGCATTGGGTGGGCTGTGGGGGGTCCTAGGCTGAACAGAGGACAGTGTTTGCCCACATGAGGTTGTTGGGCTTCTTTCTAGCAAACTCAGGGGCCTTCAGAGGGCCCAGCACTCACCGCAGGGAGAGCTGGCTGCTGAGCTTTTTACCCCTTTCTGTATTCCCCCCAGGGAGCTTGGGGACCAGGGTCAGGCCCAGGGTGGGCAGGGCAGGAAGTAACGAGCATGCCTGTCTCAGGGTTAGCGAAGCCGTCTATCTCCCTGCCTCTGGAGGGGTACAGCGTCACCCCCATCTTATAGATGACAAACTGAGGCTCAGAAGGGGGATGCAGCTGGTCTGGGCTGTGGCTGTGGACAAGGCTGGAGCTCACACCCCCTCTGCCCCAGGGTACCCCGCTCAAGTACGACACCAGCTCGTCCACCACTGGCTCCAAAAAGCACGACGTGCGCTCCCTCATCGGCAGCCCCGGCCGGACATTCCCTCCTGTGCACCCACTGGACGTGATGGCCGATGCCCGAGCACTGGAACGGGCCTGCTATGAAGAGAGTCTGAAGAGCCGGCCAGGGGCTGCCAGCAGCTCGGGGGGCTCCATTGCACGCGGGGCCCCGGTCATCGTGCCAGAGCTGGGCAAGCCACGGCAGAGCCCCCTGACCTATGAGGACCACGGAGCGGCCTTCGCCAGCCACCTCCCGCGAGGCTCGCCTGTGACCACACGGGAGCCCACACCGCGCCTGCAGGAGGGTGAGTGGGGCACGTGTGGGGTGGGCGTCTGGCTGGGGAAGCTGTCCTTCACCCTCCACCATTAGCTTCCTTTGTACCTGGGACATTTCGCCACCGGCTCCCCACCACATCCAAACCACCTGCAGGCCCTAGGGCTCTGCCTCCAACTCCAAACCCTTTCCAGCTCCTTCCCACCTTCAGACCACCATGGTGCCTCACCTAGCTTCCCCCACCCCCCTGCCACTTCCTGCTGTAATCCACTCTGCAGACAGCAGCCTGGACACTTTTTAAAAATGCAAATCAAATTATTCCATTTCCCTGCTTTCATCCTTCTGGCAACTTCACACATTTTGTTCCGGCCCGGGGTACCTGCCGTTGGGGCCCAGGCTGCCTCGTCCAGCCAGATTCCTTCATCCTCCAGCCCCGCCCCGGCCTCCTTCCTTTGTTCCCTGCCCTTGCGTCGGCTCAGGCTTCACCCAGGGCCTTTGCTCAGCTCCGCCTCTCTGCCTGCCGTGTCCCTGCCTTCCAGATCTTTACGTAGTGGGTTTCTTTCCATCCCTTGGGTCTCTGTTTAAATGTCACATCCTTGGGGAGAATTCTAACCAAACGCCCTCTCCCCAGTTCATGTCACATGCTGTGACACTAACATTTTCTTCCGGCTGGGCGTGGTGGCTCACGCCTGTAAACCCAGCACTTTGGGAGGCCGAGGCAGGCAGATCACCTGAGGTCAGAAGTTCAAGACCAGCCTGGCCAAGATGGTGAAACCCCATCTCTACTAAAAGTACAAACAATAGCCAGGTGTGGTGGTGTGCACCTGTAGTCCCAGCTACTTGGGAGGCTGAGGCAAGAGAATCGCTTCAACCTGGGAGGCGGAGGTTGCAGTGAGCTGAGATTGCACCATTGCACTCCAGCCTGGGCAACAAGAGTGAAATTCCATCTCAAAAAAAAAAAAAATTATTCCAAGCATGTTTCACTCTGTAACTCTCATGTGTTTACTGGTTTATCACCTGTCTGTCTCTCACGATGAGTGCCAGCTCCGTGGGGGCTGGGATTTCTGCCTGTTTTGTTCACCGGGGTCACGCAGTTCTCACAACACTGCTGGCACATAGTAGAGGCTGCATCAGTATTTTTTTATCGATTGAGTGAATGGAGGAAAGAATGAAGTTTTAAAAAAGAATTATAACACAAAAGCGAATGAGTCAATGAACAAAAAACGAACCAAGACAAATGAAGAAATGAAGAAAGGAGTGAAGAAACCGGGTCCTTGGGATGCCAAGCACCCGACCCTCAAATGACACCCCGTAAATGCCAGCCCCAGAGGCCCTGCGTCGGGGGCCAGTGCTGAGACCCGATGCCATCCTCCGTGCCCGTCCACAGGCAGCCTCTCATCCAGCAAAGCATCCCAGGATCGAAAGCTGACATCGACACCTCGTGAGATCGCCAAGTCCCCGCACAGCACCGTGCCGGAGCACCACCCACACCCCATCTCGCCCTACGAGCACCTGATCCGGGGCGTGAGTGGCGTGGACCTGTATCGCGGCCACATCCCCCTGGCCTTCGACCCCACCTCCATACCCCGAGGCATCCCTCTGGACGCAGGTGATTGCCCTGGGGCTCCCAAAACCCTGCAGTGGTGGTGCACAGGGCAGGGTACCTCATCAGCATTAGCCCAAGGATTCCGTAGGCATCAACTATTAGATTCCCTTGGATGGGGAAACTGAGGGCTGGAGATTAGAAGACCCAACAGTGTAATCATGACCAATTGAGGTTAGAGCAGAATTTCTCATAGTAGTTGGCAGGACATGGTGGGGTTAAACATTTCAGTGGTTTTCTTTTCCTGCAGGACTTGTCAGAGCCTTTAACAATGCAAATGTATTAAATGAGGACTTGAGTGTATGCATTTTTCAAATAGACATGATCTGAAAATTTTCTTTTTAAAGAGTTGCATCCCTTTGGTGTATTAATCTGCATTGGGATGTCTTATGTTTGGGACAAGTTTGATTGCCCCAAAAAAGCATCCTTCTAGAAGCCACCCCCTTGTGTTCTGGGGAGAAGCCTTCCTGCTGTCGGGCGCTCAGTTGTTTTCTGCTTGGGCAGCCGCACATGTAGGCAGGAGCAGCAGTCCAGGTATAAAAGTCAGGGGCATCCAGACAGGCAGGGAGACACTGTCAGGCCTGGGTGTGGCCTGCCTCATGCCCCATCCCCTCTGCCTGCAGCTGCTGCCTACTACCTGCCCCGGCACCTGGCCCCCAACCCCACCTACCCGCACCTGTACCCACCCTACCTCATCCGCGGCTACCCCGACACAGCGGCGCTGGAGAACCGGCAGACCATCATCAATGATTACATCACCTCGCAGCAGATGCACCACAACGCGGCCACCGCCATGGCCCAGCGCGCCGACATGTTGAGGGGCCTCTCACCCCGAGAGTCCTCGCTGGCGCTCAACTATGCTGCTGGCCCCCGAGGTGCGCGGGCGGGCGGGCCACCTCCACTGGGTCTGGCCTTACTACCAAACGACATGCGTGTGCCCTCGTGTGCCCCCATGGCCTCGCCAAGGCGGCTAGACTTGGTCACCTTGTGTGTGCAGACCTGAGTGGGCGGTGTGGGTCTGTGCGTGCCATGGGTACTGGTTGTCACCTGGTTAGCATGTGCACGGCAGCATCCTCAGTGGGTGTGCATGAGTCTGAGTATACTCTTAGGACACAGGGACCTCGGGAGTTTAAAGAAAGATCAGAATGTAAGGCTGTTTGCAGTTCTGTTCCTTTGCCTCATTAACAGCCCATGGTTGCTTTGCATGCACACATTCAAGAGCTGTCCTCAGATGTGCTCCTGGAATGTCCTGGAATAACCAAGTTCTAGCTGGGGCTCAGTTGGAAAAACCAAAGTCACACTCGGTATTTTGAACAGCAAGGAATGAATACAGGATTGTGTAGGCGTCAGAGGCTGAAGGGACACAGAGGGCCTTCGAAGGGAGCAGGGATGGCAGCTGCAGGGGACACCGCATCTCGGGCCTGAGAGCAGAAGTGGAGGTGGGACTGAGAGGACCCGAGCATTCAGAAAAGGGCCCCGTGGCCAGGGCTGGGAGCCAAGGAGGGAGTGCCCGCCACCGGCTCTGCTGGCTCCAGGAGTGCATGCCATGCTCTCCGGGAGGGCAGTCTGGCCAGTGGACATCCTGGCCTTTCTCTTCCCTGTGGCTCCAGCCCTGGCCCACCTCCTCCCGCAGGCATCATCGACCTATCCCAAGTGCCACACCTGCCCGTGCTGGTGCCCCCAACACCAGGCACCCCAGCCACCGCCATGGACCGTCTCGCCTACCTCCCCACCGCACCCCAGCCCTTCAGTAGCCGCCACAGCAGCTCCCCGCTCTCCCCAGGTAGCGCCGCCCACAGTCCTGGGTGGGGACCCCCGCATCTGTAAGAGGCAGCTTGGGTGAGGGCGGACAGAGGTCCTGCCCTCTGCCCCACTCCAGAAGACAAAGCCAGTCTCTTCTTGGCCCTGGGGCTGAGTCTTCCGGCCTTTGGGTTTCCTAGGAGGTCCCACGCACTTGACAAAGTCTACCACCACATCCTCGTCTGAGCGGGAGCGGGAGCGGGAGCGAGACCGGGAAAAGTCGATCCTCACATCCACCACAACGGTGGAGCATGCGCCCATCTGGAGACCTGGTAGGGCATCAGGCCCCCACCCCCCCCCTGGGACTCCTTGTGGGCCACCTGAGGCCTCCCCCTCCTGATGCCATGGCCTGTCACCAGGTACAGAGCAGAGCAGCGGCAGCAGCGGCGGGGGTGGGGGCAGCAGCAGCCGCCCCGCCTCTCACTCTCACACCCACCAGCACTCGCCCGTCTCCCCCCGGACCCAGGACGCTCTCCAGCAGAGACCCAGCGTGCTGCACAACACAGGCATGAAGGGCATCATCACTGCTGTGGAGCCCAGCACGCCCACGGTCCTGAGGTGGGCCAGGTTGGCACGGGGGAGGGGACGGGTGGACAGGCGGGTGAGGATGGGTGGTAGTAGGAGGATGGGCTAGAGGATGCTCGGTGGGAGGTACCTGGGAGGTGGGTTGGGGGTCAGATGGGTGGCTAGTGTTAGAATAATAGAGAATGCATGAGTAGTAAATGGACGATGGCTGGGTGGGTGCATGGGTGACAGGGGTAGGTGGGTAGGTGGGAGGAGAGAGGGCTGGGTTAGCCAGATGGGTGGGTGGGTGGGTGATAGGGTTATGTGGGTGAGTGGGAAGAGAGATAGCTGGGTTAGCCAGATGGATGGATGGCTGAGTGGGTGGGTGATAGGTTTGGTGGGAGGAGACATGGCTGGGCTAGCCAGATGGATGGGTGGGTAGATGGATGGGTGGGTGAGTGGGTGGGTGGGTGATAGGGTTATGTGGTTGAGTGGGAGGAGAGATAGCTGGGTTAGCCAGATGGATGGATGGGTGAGTGGGTGGGTGATAGATTTGGTGGGAGGAGACATGGCTGGGTTAGCCAGATGGATGGGTGAGTGGATGGATGGGTGGGTGGGTGATAGGGTTATGTGGGTAGGTGGGAGGAGAGATGGCTGGGTTAGCCAGATGGATGGATGGGTGGTTGGATGGGTGAATGGATGGATGGATGGTCAGGTTAGGTAGGTGGGTGGGTAAGAGGATAGATGGCTGGCTTAGTTGGGTCGATAGATGGGTGGGTGGGTGGTTAGGTAGATAGGTGGGTGGGTGAGAGCTCAGATGACTGGCTTAGCTGGTGGATGGGTGGGTGGGTGGTAGGGTTAGGTGGATGATGGAATGGATGGTGAGATGAGTAATTGGGGGGACAAGTGGATGGAGGCTCAGGTGAATGAATGAACGATGGGTTGGGAGGTGGGATGAGGAGGTGGGGAGGTTGTTTGGTTTGAGAATAGAATCTGTGGAGAGGGAGAGACCGAGTGGGGGCTGTGGGGAAAGATTCCTGGTCCCCATGTTTAGCAAGGCCAGCAAGGAAGAGATGCCCTCTTGCCTAGACAAAGTCCCAAGTGTCTCTGAGCTGGCAGAGGCCCCTGAGTGCCCTCTGGTGACACACACTCCAGAGACTGTGGGCAGAGCTGCTTCTCACCATGGGGTGGGGTTGTTCAGCACCTTTCCTTGCCTGGGACCTTTGTGTTTTTCTGAGACGGAGTTTTGCTCTGTCACCCACGATGGAGCGCAGTGGTGTGATCTCTGCTCACTCCAACTTCCGCCTCCCACGTTCAGGCAATTCTCCTGCCTAAGCCTCTGGAGTAGCTGGGATTATAGGCATGTGCCACCATGCCCAGCTAATTTCTGTATTTTTAGTAGTAATGCGGTTTCACTGTGTTGGCGAGGCTGGTCTCAAACTCCTGACCTCAAATGATCTGCCAGAATTACAGGCATGAGCCACCATGCCTGGCCTCCAGGACCTATTTAGAGGCGACTTAATTCCTCCAAAATGAATTTTCATTCAAAAAAGTACCCACGTCCCCACACCCCACTTGAGTGCCTGAAGTCATACCCTCCCCCCACAATTCCAACTATGAAAAATGGCATCGTTTCCCAAAAGCAGTGGTGGCTGTGTCACCCCTGACTCAGAGACCCAGCAGGTACATGAAGCACGAGCACCTGGCTGGGGGAGCAGGGTACCAGCACACAGGCTCTGGGACATGCCTGCGGCAGCAGAGTGAAACACAGAATGGAAAGAAACAAGTGCTTGGCTATATGAATGAGGCCCTGGGAGTCGAGTTAGCGACAGATGGGGGTACCCCCATGGAAAACCGGGGCTCCTAGAAGGCCGAGTGGGTGGAGAGGCCAGGTCCTGCTCCAGCCCCAGCCGCAGCCCCAGCCCTGTGCAGGGGCAACTGTGCCCCAGCTTCTCGCCCACAGAGCTCAGAACAAGCAGCTTTCTCTGTTCTCAGCACCACACTGGTGGCTCCCTGGGGTCTTCCCCTTGCTCTCCCGCTCCTCACGTGGTTCCTTTAGCCCCTCGGCTTTCCTGAGCAGGTCCAGCTCCCTCACACCTCCCTCCCTGGAGACTCCTCTAACCCCACCTCAGCTTCCTTGCCGTTCTCTCCGGGCACCTTGTTCACTGCTTGCGCACAGTTACCGGGCTCGGTAGGGCATGGATGCCCGTTAGTGCACTGGCAGTCTGTCTTCTGAACTGGCTGGTAAGATGCTTGCATCTGTTTTGTTGGCCGCTGTATTCACAGTGCCTAGAACAGTGCCTGGCACCTACTCTTTGCCTAATCAGAAATGTGGGAATAATGCAAGGAATGAATGAGCAAATGAATGGGATAGGGAACAGCATGCCACACAGAGTCTGGCAGGTCATAGGAGGGCAGCTTCATTCCAGGAGCAGCAGGGAATGTGGATGTTATTCCAGGGCAGTGGGGAGTTGTCGAGGGCGGTGGGGGGAGAGAGCAGCTCCCACCACCGCCTGACCGCCTTCCTCCTCCCCCAGGTCCACCTCCACCTCCTCACCTGTTCGCCCGGCTGCCACATTCCCACCCGCCACCCACTGCCCACTGGGCAGCACCCTCGATGGGGTCTACCCTACCCTCATGGAGCCTGTCTTGCTGCCCAAGGAGACCCCCCGAGTCGCCCGGCCAGAGCGGCCCCGAGCAGACACCGGCCATGCCTTCCTTGCCAAGCCCCCAGCCCGCTGTGGGCTGGAACCTGCCTCCTCCCCCAGCAAGGGCTCTGAGCCCCGGCCCCTCGTGGCCCCCAGCTCTGGCCACACCACCATCGCCCGCACCCCCGCGAAGAGCCTCGCACCCCACCACGCCAGCCCGGACCCGCCGGCGCCACCCGCCTCGGCCTCAGACCCACACCGGGAAAAGACTCAAAGTAAACCCTTTTCCATCCAGGAACTGGAACTCCGTTCTCTGGGTAAGACCACCCTGACAGCGGCCACCTTCATAGACGCGATTATCATGCGTCAAATTACTCACGATAAAGGGGCACGAGAAGGAGGTGCGCTGGCCAACGGCTCCCCTCGCGATGGTAAGACTTCCGGCCCGCACCCACCCCGTCTCGTGTTCCAAAGATATTTTCAGATCTCTGCTTTTTACTTTGGCCCCGTTTTTTTCGTTGTTAGTTTCGGTATTTTGTTTTGAAGCCCACCCGTCCTCGCCGGTTTGCACGCGCTGATGACTGCTCCAGCCGCGCCCACCCCTCTGGTTTGGGGTGCTCATCATTTGCACATCATTTTACCATGTTTTTTTTTTTGCTTTTTTTTTCTTTAATGAATGGATCTGTGATTCTGACTTCAACTGCGCCCCCATCTTCCCCCTTTGCGCCTGTGTCCGGGGAGCAGGGATGGGGCTTCGGGGGGGCTCGGGCCTTTGCTCCCCGCCTGCCTGGATGCAGTTGGATTTGGGGGAAGTGGAGGCAGGCGGTTCCAGGAGGAGCTGAGGAGGGGTGGGGGCCTGGGCTGTGGACGAGGAGCTAGGCCCAGCTCTTCTGTCCTGTTCCTGGGAGGACGTCTCAGGGATGCCCTGTCCCCAGCCCATGAACCCCTGAACATGGGGAGCCCTCTGCATGCAGCCCCCTGCCTTGGCCTAGTTCTCAGCTCCCCTCTGTTGGACTAGGGTGGCCTAGCCTATAGCCCAGCAGGGCCCCCAGGACACAGGGTCACTCCCAGCCACACCCCACTTCTCACTCTGCTCAATACACTCCTTCCCCAGAGACCCATACCGCCCCTGTCTCATGCTGGTCTTGCCCCACCTCCGCCGCCTGAGCCCGTCTCTTCTCTCCTTGTCTCTGTCTCCCTCTCCCTGTGATTCTGTCCCTGTTCTGGGCTCTGTGTTTCTCTCCACCTCTCTCTCGGCCTCCTCCTCTCTCCCCAACACCTTCCTCTGCCTTACTCTCTCTGGGCACCCACACCCCACCCCTAGCTTGGGTTCCCCTTGACCCCGAGGGGAGCCAGCCAGCTGGGAGGGCAGCCCTGCCCCTTGGATCTCGAGGCCCTGGGCCCAGTGCCTGACTCTGCACCCCGCCTGCCCCAGGTTACCACAGCAGCAGCTACAGCCCCGATGGGGTAGAGCCCGTCAGCCCCGTGAGCTCACCCAGCCTGACCCACGACAAGGGGCTCCCCAAGCACCTGGAGGAGCTCGACAAGAGCCACCTGGAGGGGGAGCTGCGGCCCAAGCAGCCAGGTACACCCCAGCCAGCACCTGGCCCTGAAGCCATGCGAGACGGGAACCCTCTGGCCCCAGCACGCAGATGGGCAAACAGAGGTGCTGAAAGGCCCAGGAATTGGCCTGGTCACGAGGCTCAAAGATGCAGGGCTAGGATTCGGGCTCAGGGCCAGGATTTGGGCTCAGGGCTGGGATTCGGGCCCAGCAGCCCTGGGGCCAGCAGACACCCCCTGACCGGCTCTGCTCTGCCCGCAGGCCCCTTGAAGCTCGGCGGGGAGGCCGCCCACCTCCCACACCTGAGGCCGCTGCCCGAGAGCCAGCCCTCGTCCAGCCCACTGCTCCAGACTGCCCCGGGGGTCAAGGGTCACCAGCGGGTGGTCACCCTGGCCCAGCACATCAGTGTAACTATGCGCTCTCTGCCCCTCTCTGTCACCTTTGCACCTGGGGCACCAGGCCTGGAGAGGGGATGGGGAACCCCACAGCCCCTCTGTCATGGCGGGGAAGCTGGGGGATCTGGGGTGTGGGTAAGGTGAGATTCCAAAGCCCCAAGCACCCATGCTGTCTGTGCCTCCTTGCCCATGGGGGGCCTGCAATGCGAGCCGACAGCATCTTCACGGGTGATGAGTTGTCCTGGTGACCTGGGTTTCTCAGTGTCGTGGGCCAGTCACATCAGCCATCTGCTAACTGCCAGCTTGGGACTGCTGACCACAGCCCCACTCCCATGCACACAGGGACATGGAGGCCCAGAGGGTGGTGGGCAGGTCCATAGTTGCCCAGGAAGGCAGCCCCAGCCAGGGTTTCACCCCGAGCTCCATCTGGCCCCTTCCCCCACCCAGAAGGTTCCAGCAGGAGGGAGCTGCCTGACCCTGGGTCCCCAACTTACCTGCAGGAGGTCATCACGCAGGACTATACCCGGCACCACCCACAGCAGCTCAGCACGCCCCTGCCCGCCCCCCTCTACTCCTTCCCTGGGGCCAGCTGCCCCGTCCTGGACCTCCGCCGCCCACCCAGTGACCTCTACCTCCCACCCCCGGACCATGGTGCCCCAGCCCGTGGCTCCCCCCACAGCGAAGGGGGCAAGAGGTGAGTGAGGGGTAGGGATGCCACTTGCTGGTCAGCTGGTGGGAGGCCTTCAACAGCTGCCTGCCTCGGAGTGGGGTCCCAGCTCAGCTGCATGCGAGAGCCGCCTGGCACCGTTGCACAAGCAAGAAACAGAGGCTCTGGGAAATGGGAGGTCACAGAGTGGATTCATAATAAAGGAAAGCTGATCAAAGTACACGCGGTGGTCAGTGGGTTCTGGGCACCCATGTGTACCCTTTACACACAGCCCCCCAGGAGGCCTGAGCAACATTCTCCCCATTTCACAGATGAAGAAACCAAGGCCTGGAGAAGTAAAGTCACTTGCCCACAGGGACATAATCAGAAGGTAGCAGAGGTGGATGGGATCCAGGACTGTTTAGAGAGCCGCCTTTCAATACATGCACACACACACACACCCATCACTACACACACACCTACCAGTGCACACATATGCACAGTCACCCTCATCAGTGCAGCCTTTCAACACATGCACACACATGCAATGCACACACGTACACACATGCACACACACCCATCAGTGCACACATGCACACACACACCTACCAGTGCACACACCTGCAGTCACACAGTGCAGCCTTTCAACATGCGCACACACACGTACACGCATCTATCAGTGCACGCATGCACATGCATACCTATCAGTGCACACATGCAGTCACACTCATCAATGCAGCCTTTCAACATACATGCACACATGCACATGCACCCATCAGTGCACACACGCACACATGCACACACACAGTGCACACATGCAAACCCATAGATGCACGCACACACCCCTGCACATGCTCACACACACTCCCACCCTGGTGAACCCTGGAGCATCTGGGGGTCAAGAGGAGGCGAGGAGAGGGCCCTGAGCTCCAGGGTAAAGGAACGGTTTGGTAGGCAAGGGAGAGGTAATGTGTGTGGGAGGACAGACATGGCAAGACAGCAGGACATTGTTGGGGGACAGTGATGTAGCTGGCACTGAGGTACAGCCAGAACTCAGAGCAGGGGTCAGTAAACTATGTCCCATGGCCCAGATCCAGCCCATGGCCTGTTTTTGTATAATTCATGAACTAAAAAGATGATTTTACATTTTTTAAGGGTTGTTTAAAAAAATAAAAATAGTTACAATACATGCCAGAGATTACTTGTGGTCAAAAAGGCCTAAAAGATTTCTGATTTGGCCACGGACAGGAAAAGCATGCTGAGCCCTGGTTTAGAGTGGAAACAGGCTAGGAGGGGTGCGTCCCCTCAGGAGGGAGACTTCTCACCACATCCGGGGCCCTTTCTCCATCCAGGTCTCCAGAGCCAAGCAAGACATCGGTCTTGGGTGGCGGTGAGGACGGTATTGAACCTGTGTCGCCACCGGAGAGCATGACGGAGTCAGGGCACCCCCGGAGCGCTGTGTACCCACTGCTGTACCGGGATGGGGAGCACACAGAGCCCAGGTACTTCTGTGGGCACAAACGGTGCCCCCAGGATGCTCAGATATCAGCTCCTTGTCCATCCTTGGCCCCAGTCCACCGCAGTGCCGTGTGGAAAGTGACAAGGGCGCAGGGCTCAACTGGGCAACCTCAAGCCCACTAAGTAAGCTTTACCAACTTGGGGGTGTGATACATGCCCATCCTCCCTGCAGAGACCTCATTGGTGGCTCTCCGTGCTTTGCGGCCCCTGTTGAACCTCTAAGAAAGAATGAACTAGGTGTGCTAGACCAAGACTGCAGGTGATGAGTGAGGCGAGGGCTGAGAAGGAAGCGGGGCGCACTGGCCTTGGGGAAGGGCATGGTCAGAACCCAATTTCAGTCCTTGAGGCTCTCTTCAGAGGATCAGGTTGGAGCAGGTGGTCAGAGGCAGACCAGCACGAAGCCAGGCATCTCCCGAGACACCTCGAGCCCCAGGATGGGTGAACTGCAAAGGAATTTCCAGGAGCCTTGGTCTTCTACGAGACAGGAGATGCAGGCATGGGGGCGGGTGAAGCTTGGTTCCAAATGTCTAAGGCATCTCAGGTAGTGAGTTCCCTGTCATGAAAAGCATGCAGGTGAGCTCATAGAGGCATCTGACCCTCACAGCAGGATGGGTTCCAAGTCTCCAGGCAGCACCGGCCAGCCGCCAGCCTTCTTCAGCAAGCTGACCGAGAGCAACTCCGCCATTGTCAAGTCCAAGAAGCAGGAGATCAACAAGAAGCTGAACACTCACAATTGGAACGAGCCCGAATACAGTAAGGGGCCTGCCGTCTCCCGGGAAGCACGGGGCCACAGGTGGGCAGGTGGCCTGCCAGTGGGGGGGGGGCAGAAACCCACAGGGCACTTTGGAAAGCTAAGTGGTCCTGCTGACCGCCTTCCACGCCCACCCTGGCCCTTCACCTCACATCTGGGGAGTCCCAGGGCAGTCTGTTGATCACTGGGCTTTCCATAGGAGCTTACTGGCACAGAATAGTGCTAGCACCTAGTAGGCACCCAGTGAATACCCACATAAATATGGGAACCAGGGGTTGGGTCCTTCCCACACACGGGCCTGGCGCCTCCCATTCCCAACGACTGTGGCTTTGCACCCATTGACATGGTTGCTGGGTATGAACACCCCAGTCTGCCTCCCAGTCAGTAGCACAGTGCCTGGCACTTAGCAGATCCACCAGGGAATATGTGAGTGGGTGGGCAAATAAAGAATCTGTCACAGTCCCCGACCCCAGGAAGCCTCATCTGCCAGGGGAGTTTGGGCAAATCACAGATGCTTTTCCCTTCCTGGGGCTGGAGTAGCCGCAGTACAGATGGTCGCTGGCTTGCTGGGCGCAGTGGCTCATGCCTACACGCCCAGCACTTTGGGAGGATGAGGTGGGAGGATTGCTTGAGGCCAGGAATTCAAGACCAGTCTGGGCAATATAGCAAGACCCCATCTCTACAGAAATTCTAAGAATTAGGCACACACCTATAGTCCCAGCTACTGGGGAGGCTGAGCAGGGAGGATTGCTTGAGCCTGGGAGGTCAAGGCTGTAATGAGCTATGATCACACCACTGCACTCCAGCCTGGGCAACAGCAAGACATTGCTCAAAAAAAAAAAAAAACCACAACAAAAATCTCTGACCTAGGAACTCCAGGGCCTTGTAAGTGTGGTCGGTCCAGGGACCCGTAGCATTGGCATCCCCTTGGCCAGGCACTGGGTCTCACGCCTGTAATCCGAGCACTTTGGCAGGCCAAGGTGGGTGGATCACTTGAGGTCAGGAGTTTGAGACCAGGCTGGCCAACATGGTGAAACCCCACGTATTTTTATACTAAAAATATAAAAATTAGCCGGGCGTGGTGACACGAGCCTGTAGTCCCAGCTACTTAGGAGGCTAGGCAGGAGAATCACTTGAACCTGGGAGGCGGAGGTTGCAGTGAGCCCAGTTCACACCACTGCACTCCATCCTGGGTCACAGAGTGAGACTCCGTCTCAAAAAAAAGAAATGCAGACCCTTGGCCCTGTCTCAGGCCTGCTGCATCAGAACCTGTGATGAACAAGATTCCCCAGGTGATGCTGGCGCACCTGGCCTGGACCACATAGAGGACTGGTGGGGCAGGTGATTCCCAGAGCACTGGGGACCCTCACCTGCTTTGTCACCCCGCTTCCAGATATCGGCCAGCCTGGGACGGAGATCTTCAACATGCCCGCTATCACCGGACCAGGTAACCCGTCTAGCCCTTGCTTTGCAGCCGCCCAGGTCCCCTGCGCTCCCTCCCCGCCCCACTCCAGCTCTCATGAAGGGACAAGAAACCTTTGCTAGTCCAAGTATACCCCTCATTCTGGGATGAACTAACCCCACAGTAGGATTCAGAGGGACCCAACAGGCAGGTGAGGCTTATTCCCCTCGTGGAAAGGACCCTCACTGTGCAGGGAGCCTCTGGAGTTCAGATCCCCTTGGGTGGTTAGTATCAGATGCACCCTCACCAGCTGGCAAGTCACCTCGCTTCTTTGCCAGTCACAGCTGGAGATGTACGTATCTGGAGGAAGAGTGGGTCTGAGCTCAGAGCACGAGCCTCCAAGTTACATCCAGAGCTTAATGCCTTAATTCCAGCCAGGGAACTGGGAGGCCTTACTTTTTTTTTCAAGATCAAATGCAGGTACATGGCAGAGATAGGTGTGAAACTGACACTCTCTTTTAAGCTGAAACTTAAGACCTCCATGAGGTTTTGGACTTAGGGGTCCTTGGGGTTGGAGCCCCATCCTCTGGGGGGCCCCACTGTGTATTCCATCAGTGAGTCTGGGTGTGGCCTCCAGGGCCCCAGTGGGGCCGAGGCAGTTGTGGGGTTGGCTGTCTCCGTGTGGGTGCCTGGCTATCCTCTGTTCCTCTGGTGGAAGCCGAGGCCAGGATGGAGGGAGGGGAGGTTTGCTGATCTTCCCTGGGGGACGTTCCTGGGTCTTGAGCTCTGGGAATGGTGTGCAAAGGACCGTCATTCAGATATCATCAGGGGGTCATCGAGGCCTCCCAATGGGAGTCCCAACTAGGACACCTTTATTTGCCCAGTGTCTGTAGACACCTCAGGCAATGGGAAGGAGGCAATTTGGTCGAAACAACAAGAGGGTTAAAAACGAATGTTTCTGGGGTGTTCTAAGTCTTGAGGTAGGTGCTAGACATACGGGTGCATCTGCACGTGAAACTTCGTGGCATTGTACAATGAAGATTGATGCTAACACTTATATTTAAATATCTTTTATTTTTTTTTTAAGACACAGTCTTTCTCTGTCAGCCAGGCCAGAGTGCAGTGACGTGATCATAGCTCACTGCAGCCTCCGCCTCCCAGGCATAGATGATCCTCTTGCCTCAGCCTCCTGAGCAGCTGGGACTACAGGCGTGTGCCACTATACCCAAATAGTTTGTTTATTTTTTTGTAGAGACAGGCTAGTCTTGAGCTCCTGTCTTCAAGCTGAATTTTTTTTTCTTTTTTTTGACAGAGTCTTGCTCTGTTGCTCAGGCTGGAACACAGTGGTGCACTCTCAGCTCACTGCAGCCTCTGCCTCCTGGGTTCAAGCAATTCTTACACCTCAGCCTCCTGAGTAGCTGGGATTACGGACACCCGACACCAGGCCTGTATAATTTTTGTATTTTTAGTAGAGACAGGGTTTCACCATGTTGCCCAGGAAGCTGGTCTCGAACTCCTGACCTCAGGTGATCCACCTTCCTCGGCCTCCCAAAGTGCTGGAATTACCGGCGTGAGCCACTGTGCCCAGCCTGGTTTTTCTTTTTATGCAGTTTTTGTTCACAAAAAGAAATTTTCCAGGCTCCAGTCTTTACCACTCAGCCTGTGTTGGGCTTTGCCTTTTTAAATGGAGACACTTAAGCCCGGAGCCAGCTCCGTCAGGTCATGGACTCGTGGCCTTGGGTAGGAGGTTCAGTCACGCTGCTAGGATTTCAGCACTCAGCCCTGTTGGAAATGTTGCTTTTTCTTCACACACATGGCTGTTGTTTTAAAGTGCTTTAGAAATGTGGCCAAGACAGCAGAAAAGGTGCGAGTGCCCCTGGCTCCAAACGCATTTGAAACCAAAAGGAAAAGAAAGCGCAGGCAGCCAGCGGTTGCTGCAGAAACGTGACATTCAGGCATCTGCTTCACCTGCAACCTCACAGAAGCCTCAGTTTTGTTTACAAAGGAGCGAGCGGTCAGAAAGAATCTTTGACCACTTTGTATGTGTATGGTTCACTCAAAGCAGAAGTTTAAAACCCCAGGAAAATCCTGCCCTGTGGTAGGCCGGGTGGGATAGGGGTGCACTGGGGACTTTTGAAAGCAAAGTCTGTTTTAACAAACACAAATTCTGAAAAGTCAGCACCTATGGGGGGTCAGTCCATGTGGGTCACAAGAAAGAAAAACGAGAAAGGAAACTGGCGAACAGAAAGGGAGGTTTCCTGGAATTGTCGGGGTGTTCCGGAAGCATCCTCTTGGGTTTGGTTTGTTGATTCGACCACTTTGTCCTTGGGATGGGGCGGCTGGGCCAGCTGGGACCGGACCAGGGCTGGTGCCGTGATTGTGTCTACCTCTGCCCCTCCCTGCACGTACCGTAACTGCATGGCTACGACCCCACCCTCATCGTCCGTCTCTGCACCTCTTTCTCCTCACGGCTCCTGGGTGGGAGAGGCGGAGGGAGGACAGTAGCCCAGCTTGTCGGGGAGGCAGGGGGCCACACATCCCAAACCGCACAGCTGGAGGCAGGGCAGCAGGAAGACCATCTGGTCACCTCTCTCAGACCAGAGAGAAGGTCTTCTCCCCACCAGCCCGCAGCTCTAGTTTTCTAGGAGTCCGTTCCCCAAACAGGACAGCCCTCCAGTCTCTCACCCTCTCCATGAAGGCCACTTGGGATTAAAGAGGAAAAACAGCCCCAGCTAGGATTAGGGGTGCAGAGGGGGCTTGCAATTTCCCAGAGGACAGACTAGGAATGAGGTGAGGGGCAGGAAGGCATCTAACCTCGCCCACCCCACCTCGCTTGCAGTGCCCAAGAGCTTCCGGGGCCCCAGGGAGAAGGAAACAGCCTCTCCCATTTCATCTCCACCCAGCTGAAAAAAAAGGGTGGGGAGGGGTAGGGAAATAAAGGTGTTGCTTTGCCAAAATGTGCTCACTGTGTATTTCTCTCTCCTCCTCCTCCTTCCGTCTCTCCCTTCTCTCTCTCCGTCACCCCTCTGGCTCCCCCTCCCCGGCCCCCGTGTGTCTGTCTGTCTGTCTGTCTCTCTCCCAGGCCTTATGACCTATAGAAGCCAGGCGGTGCAGGAACATGCCAGCACCAACATGGGGCTGGAGGCCATAATTAGAAAGGCACTCATGGGTAAATATGACCAGTGGGAAGAGTCCCCGCCGCTCAGCGCCAATGCTTTTAACCCTCTGAATGCCAGTGCCAGCCTGCCTGCTGCTATGCCCATAACCGCTGCTGATGGACGGAGTGACCACACACTCACCTCGCCAGGTCTGCAGGCCACCCCTGCCCCTCCCCCGTCTGTCCCCACCCCCGTCTGTCCCCACCCCCAGTGTGATTAATCCTCACTCCTCCGCACTCCTCTGACAATCCCCTCCTCGAGCTTTGGAGCTTGTGACTTTATTTTTGTGCCTGTTTGACCTTCATTCTGAAGTTTGCTAATCTGAAGCTGGGCTGAGAACCCCCGAGTGTCTGCACCCTCTCCCCCAGCCCCGGCCCCCTGCCCACTAGGCCCAAGGTGCCGCCGCCTGCCTCGGACACTCACGCTGCCGTCCGCCCCCAGCCCTCCCGCCTTCCTCCCTGCGGGGACCCGGCCTCCTGGCCCAGCTGTCTCCTTGGGGAGACTTGGCTGGAGTGAAGGCCCACCCCCACTGCATGGACGGGGATGGCAGCCAGGCCTGTGCGCAGCATCTGCCAGGCCTACTGTGTGTCTGCAGCTGGCCCTTAGTCTGGCGGGGAGGAGCCCAGGGTCTGCGTCAGCCCTAGGAGTCAGGGAGCTTTCGGACTCAGCCCCCCATCTGCCTGGGTCCCCATCAGTACCCTGTACGGGAGCAGGGAGCAGAGGAAAGAGATCTGGGTGCAGCTGTCCAGCCTTGGCACTGGGGCCCCAAAAAGCTTCTGGAGCCTCCGCAGGGGTCAGGCCTGGCCTCAGGGGTCCTGACTTCTCTGCTCAGGGCCTGGAGCCTGCCTGGCCTTGGCATGGTCCTGGGGCCACGCTCAGAGTCAAACTGGAGGCCCGGGCTTCACATTTCAGGGTTGCAGCCCTGGGGCTGGGGGCACTCAGGACAGCCGGGGGGTGGGGGGTACTGCAAACAGCAGACAGTGTAGCTACCACCCCTCCCAGCAGAAACTGGTCTCCACATTCCAGGCTTATAGCTGGGTCTGGCCATCTGGTCAACCCTGGCTTCCCAGCTGGGGCGGGCAGCAGGGAGGAGGGGTTCGTGTCCCTGCTCTCCCTAGCTCTTTGGAGGGTCCGTGGCAGGACCTCACCTCGTCCATTCCCATCTTGTCCCCTGCAGGCAGTGGCGGGAAGGCCAAGGTCTCTGGCAGACCCAGCAGCCGAAAAGCCAAGTCCCCAGCCCCAGGCCTGGCATCTGGGGACCGGCCACCCTCCGTCTCCTCAGTGCACTCGGAGGGAGACTGCAACCGCCGGACGCCACTCACCAACCGCGTGTGGGAGGACCGGCCCTCGTCTGCAGGTGGGCACCAGGTGGGGGCAGGGCTGGGCTCTCCAAGCTCCCCCACACCAGGCTGCGAATCCCACCGGGGCACTGAATGCCCAGTGCCTGCTGAGTGCCCAGCTCACAGGCCTGGTCTGCGGAAGCAAGGTCCAGGGGCCTGGGCAGCCAAGCCCGGCTCACGGACCGTCAGGAGGCTTCCTCCAGGGCCACAGGCAGAGGATAAGGGTGTGACTAGGGCCAGCCAGATCACGAGGGCCTGGTGGGCCGTGCAGGGGGCCTGGACTCCCTCTGATGCGTAGTGAGGAGCCCTGGAGGGCTTTTGGAAGGGAAACGCTGATCTCACTTAGGGTCAGAAGGTCCCTGGGAGAACAGACCAGAGGGACAGTGAAGACACTGCCGCTACAGTCCAGGCCAAAGATGGCGGGGTGCAAACAGGGACGGAAGTAAGAGGTGAAGAGAGCCGTTTAGCAGTTTGGAAGGGCTAGGAACACTGCTGGACAGAAACGCCGAGGCCCGGTTCCTGGTGTGGTGGGCAGGCGGCCAGCGGGGGCTGCCCGGCTCACACATCTCGCTTCTCCATGCAGGTTCCACGCCGTTCCCCTACAACCCCCTGATCATGCGGCTGCAGGCGGGTGTCATGGCCTCCCCACCCCCGCCGGGCCTCCCCTCGGGTAGCGGGCCCCTCGCTGGCCCCCACCACGCCTGGGATGAGGAGCCGAAGCCACTGCTCTGCTCGCAGTACGAGACACTCTCTGACAGCGAGTGACTCCGAATGGGGGGATGGGCAGTGTCGGGTCCCAGCGAGCCATAGGAACAGCCTGGCAGGAGTGGGGCGGCTGCCGACTCCCCCCACCGAGGAAGGAGCCCCCGAGTCTGCCTGCGCCTCTGTCCATCTGTCCGTCCAGAGCCGGCATCCTTGCCTGTCTGAAGCCTTAACTAAGACTCCCGCCCCGGGCTGGCCCTGTGCAGTGACCTTACTCAGGGGATGTTTACCTGGTGCTCGAGAAGGGAGGGGAGGGGGCCGGGGAGGGGACACGGCAGGCGTGTGGCAGCCACACGCAGGCAGCCGGGGCGGCCAGGGACCCAAAGCAGGACGACCATGCACCTCCATGCCACTGCCTCCCCCGAATGCATTTGGAACCAAAGTCTAAGCTGAGCTCGCAGCCCCCGCGCCCTCCCTCCGCCTCCCATCCCGATTAGTGCTCTGGACAGACGGACGCAGGCCCTGTCCAGTCCCCAGTGTGCTCGTTCCGGTCCCCACAGGCCCAGCCAACGAGATCGCTGGAAACCACGTCAGGCCAGGTGGGCAGACAGAAGGGCCGGGTGCGGCCTGGGGCGAGCGGCGACTGCAAGGACTGGACTTCTTTTCACACATCGTTGCCGCAGCGGTGGGAAGGAAAGGCAGATGTAAATGATGTATTGGTTTACAGGGTATATTTTTGATACCTTCAATGAATTAATTCAGATGTTTTACGCAAGGAAGGACTTACCCAGTATTACTGCTGCTGTGCTTTTGATCTCTGCTTACCGTTCAAGAGGCGTGTGCAGGCCGACAGTCGGTGACCCCATCACTCGCAGGACCAAGGGGGCGGGGACTGCCGGCTCACGTCCTGCTGTGTCCTCCCTCCCCCCCCTTTCTTGAGCAGAATGAATTCGATGCGTATTCTGTGGCCGCCATCTGCGCAGGGTGGTGGTATTCTGTCATTTACACACGTCGTTCTAATTAAAAAGCGAATTATACTCGAGTTACAAAGGTTTCTTCTCTACCTCATACTGGGCAGCCAGTAGGCCAGACAGCTAGGGTTTAGGGGACAGCGGGAATACAACCCTGGAGGGCCAAGGCCACATCCCCCTGAGTCACCAGGGACTGGACCCTTTCATAACTGAGTATTTATACCCCTCATAAGGACATCACCATCAGAACATCAAATAGTCACATCATGGTGAAGGTGTCAAGTATTCACACCCATGGTGAGAGGGTCTGAGATGTTCACACCCATGTGTCAGGTATTCGCACCATGGTGAGGGTGTCATGTTCACACATGGTGAGAAGGTGTCAGGTATTCACGCCATGGCAAGGGTGTCAAGTAGTCACACCCATGAGAGTGTCAGATGTTCACACCATGGCGGGTGTCAGATATTCACCATGGTGAGCGTGTCATGTTCACACTCATAGTGTCAGGTGTTTACACCATGGTGAGGGTGTCAGTTATTCACATCCATGGTGAGGGTGTCGTGTTCACACTTATGGTGAGAGGGTGCAGGTGTTTACACATGTCAGGTATTCACACTCATAGTGAAGGTGTCTAGTATTCACACCCGTGGAGTCCGGGATGGCCATCAGTTCCTACTTGGAGCCTTTTTAATGTCATCCCTGCCCACAGAGATCATGATAGGAGATGTCCCGGTGTGTTTTCAGTACAGGCAGGAGAGAGAGCAACCCCTGCCAGTTTGGGCGGAGACCACTGCCCACCTGCCTCTTGGGTTCGGGTGTACCACGTAATGGGTATGCCCTGTCCTGTGCCTGTGGCATCCCTTTTGGAGCAGCGTAGAGCCTGATAGTGGCCACAGTTCTTTGCCATGGACCCTGGTCAGTGTTGGCGTTGTCCCTCGGTGCCAGTGGCCTGGCCCTCCCCCACGCTTTACTGCCCTTTTCCTCTGCTGGCTTCAGCAGCATGGCTGCTGGTCCACACTCCCCCAAAGCCTGATGCCCCACCTGGTGCCCAGTTTTGTATGTGGTCTCAGTCCCCAGAGCCAGACTAGGTGGTGGACTGGAAGGATGTCAGGGAGACTTCATTTGTCCACTGGCCCATAGGTATGGCTGCAGGTGCCCTGGCATGGGGAGGGCACTGGCGCCCCCTGCGATGCCACTGCCTGCTTCTGTAGAGGGAGGGAACCCACCCTCACCCTGGAGCTTCCCCTGCTTGTCCAGGCTGGCCTGAAGCCTCCCCACAGAGCTTCCATCTGGGCAGCCCTATCACAACCTCTTAGCCTCCTTATGTCCCCAAGCCAATAGGGACAATGCTGGCCTGAGTGTGACCTCAGGCCCAACCCCATCCCAGAGCAGAGGTCAGAGCCATGAAGTCAGCTCTGCCCAATGGCATTCCTGGAGCCACTGTGGGCTGAGGACCCCCAGCCAGTGTCCCACTCCACCCAAGACCCACCAGACGTATAACACTTGGCAGCCAGGGAACGCCTGCCCTGCAAAGGCCGAGTCGTTCTAGATGGGTTCCCAGGGCAGACCCAGCTTCCCAGGCTCTAAAATCTATGGGAGTGCAGGGGGTGGGATGTGGGCCCTCTGTCGCTCATGGGCACAAGATAATCTGCAAAGCAGGGCATTCTCTTTCTGCTCTTCCTTCAGAGGTGCGTCTGAACCATGCTAAGCGTGGCCCAGAGTCCTGGAATTCCGCCTGTCCCCACCCCTTGGCCTTCAGGCCCAGGCAGTCTGGGGTGCTGCCCTCAGTTCACCCAGAAATAGGCAGTCCCAAATCCCCAAAGAGGGCCCATGCTGGCCCAGCAACTGGTAAGCAGGGAC